ATTGTGGTTACATGTTTGTTTGTTTGTTTGTTTGTTTGTTTGTTTGTTTGAGACAGGGTCTTTCCATGTAGCTCTGGCTGTCTTGGAACTCACTATGTAGATCTGGCTGCCCTCGATCTCACAGAGATCCTCCTGCCTCTGTCTCTCCAGTGCTGGGCACAGGCATGCGCCACCACGCCGGGCTTATATAAAACTCCTAGAATAATGAGGAAGTCCTTTGAGGTTGACTGCAGAGGGAGCCTGGGGATGTCCGGGGCAATGGGATTCTCCTTGGGTCTTCATTGTAACCATGGTTGTCCAGCTGTCATCGTAAAGTGTAATGGTAAAGCTGAAAGACTGGAATTTCAGGATGTGAGTATCACAGCTCTGTAACTCAACTCAGAAAACTACCTCAATATTTAATCAAAGACATTCCATCTATGCCACGCAGCTAATAAACTGCAGGTGTCCAGCCCCAGGCTTGGTATTAGCTAGCCCTTGGTAACGGACAGGGAGACATCTTTTAAAACATGGTATATGTATTTAATAGACGCTTAATATATGTTTCTTGAAAGTTAAAATTAACTGAAACTCCTTTAAACGTAAAAATATGGGATCTCAAGTAGCAAAGAAATCTTAATTTGTAATAGTGATATTTCCATTTTGTGTGTGGTAACTGAAGGAATTGAAGATTATGAGTTCTGAAATTAACAGTTCTGAAAGCTGAATTTCCTGCAGGATGGAAAAGAAGGTAATTATCTTTCCAATTACCTTTTTAGGATGAGAAAGTAGGCAGCAACCATTGAATCAGAGCCTGGATTCGTACCACCATACTCTTGCTTTTCGGTGGGGAAGCGCTTGACCCTTTGGATAATTGCGAACTTGGCTTCATGGGTTGATTCACACTCCACACTACAGCCCGTGGAACCAGCTGCACTTTCCTCTTGGCAGCCTTCTCTACTGCCCCTCCTCCACGCTGCCTCACTCAGTGGCCGAGGTTCCCCTCTGGAAAGCCTGTTGCCACAGGATACAGAATCGGCTGGGAAAGAGGGGAAGCGGTGTGCATGGCTAAGCTTGGCCGGTGGCTCACACAGTCAGGGAAACCATGTGGAAAGCTTGCTCATTCATGTGCAGAAGCCCATGTTGTAGCTAAGCGGTAGGGCTGCTGCAGGGCTCTGGGCCCTGACACCATGCCTGAAACCTGCAGCATTTGGAGTTGTGATCCGAATACCGCTGAGTGTGGCCACTGCGTCATCCAGGGATGATGAGACATGCATTTGACTCCAGTGGAAGAACAGCCATAATCCACTTTTATTGTTTTGATTAAATAATTACATTGGTCACAAATAACTATAAAGTCACTCTCTGGTCTTTTTCTTTTTACTCTCAATCTCTTTTAAATGACTTCCCTTACCTTCTAAGAAATCAAAGGTGACCAAGGCTTTTGGATCTGTGTCTGTCTAACTAACTGACTTCCTACTCCTGCCTCCTGAGCAGTAAAAGCAGGTGAGCCGCCGTCCTGAGCAGTCCTGAGCAGTCCCAGGCGTGGCAGGGAGAGAGGATGCTTCTCAGTTCCTGCTACTTACTAGCTTCAGCATAGAAAGCTCTGGAAGCCCCAGTTAGCACTAGGGACAGAGTTTTCTTCGGCCATGGGTAGAATCAGAGTGAAAACTTGACAGCATGCTCCTTCCTCTAAGAATTGCACATCCAAGCTGGGCGTGGTAGGATCTCTGTGAGTTCAAGGCCAGCGTGGTCTACAGAATGAGTTCCAGGAGTCAAGGCTAGACAGAGAAACCCTGAAAAACCATAAATAAATAAGCAAACAGACAAACAAATTAGAAATGCACATCTATAGAACTGAGCTGTACACTGTCTCCTGCCCTCTTGAGCACAGCATTGTTGGGGTTATTTGAGTTGCATTGTTTATCCTCTCTATCCTCACAGATTGCCAGCCTTGGCAGCCGGCCGCTTCAGCTGTTGTGAAGCTGCTGTTGAGCATCAGGTGTAGAGGGCCATCCTACAGTGGCTGTCTGTGACCTGCCAGTCTGCTGGTCGGAGCAGAGGAGAACAAAAGAGTCTGTTTGCAGGAAATAGTGCATTGGCTTGTGTCCTCTTCACCTTTCCTGAGTACTGTGCTGCCCAGCAGACCGTAGGAGCATGTAGGTGACACCCATTTCAGAGCCTAACCTGCCTCTCACTGGAGGTTATAAAGAGGATCCACACCAAACTGCTTGTGAAATTGGTAGAGGAATTCCTCTCATACCATTCAAACTTGGCCCCCTTTTCGGCATACCGTGTTGATACTTTCGTGTTCTAGAAGTTGTGCGTTCATTTTCTTTCTTCTTAGTTTTAACACTCATCAAGTCTAGAGAGGGGTTTACTTGCTGCCTATATGGGAAAGACTGGGATTCCACTTGGGAATCATATGTATATATACATTCCTGAGGTGGTGTGGTGGTGGCAGTTAGTGTCCTAGGCATTTGTGAAACCTTATGCATTGTGAAACCTTACAGACCAGAGACCACTGATCTGACCCCCCAAGGGCTGGGCAGCTGTGGCTAAATGAGATATATGAGAGGTCATTGTGTTAATGCTTCCTTTAGGCTTCCAAAAGTAGAGTGAAAAACAAAGACTTGAGAAGGAAAGACTTCCCTTTTCTTCTAGACATTACCCTTAGAATGTTAGCAAACTGCTTGAAATACAATTTTAATTTAAGCTCTGAAGGTCTGTATCACAGGTCCTATTGTCAGCCTTCAAAGCTCAGAATTGCTTGCTGATCATGAATAAGAGAAAAAGTACTTGCATTGATATGGTCATGAATATAACCACATACAGAGCAGATTAAAGTCTGTCAGCAACAGCAAAAAAGCTGTAGCCTCTGGCCATCCAAGATGTTCTCAGATAGAAGATTAAAATGGAGATTAGGTTTAAAGTGGATAAAAAATAGATAGTTGACATGTTTAATCTGTTTTGAAATGAGAGGTGGACTACACCACCAAAGCCCCAAACCTTGCATCCAGCAATCCCCCTGGGCCATGCCCTCCTTACATTGTTATTAAAGACCTGTGTAACAAGGCTATAAGATGCCCCAGGCAGAGGGGCTGCCATTCTTCATACACACCATAGGCGTGAACAGGACAGCACAGCACTATGCACCACTTAACAAACGTCTTGACGGAAGCTCCGCTTTTATTTCCCGAAAACCTACATGGGCCATGAAGTGTCAGGCACCGAGGAATCATGTGGAATAAGTGGGTGCCCATGTACCCCATGAGTTTCTACCAAAGAGGGAACGTAGTCATCACGGAGATGATTCACCTGCTGGTCTCCTTGGTGGTCGTCCTCCGCTTCCTCCTCCTCTTCCTCTAGTTAGACTTGGCTAAGGTACAGCTCAGGAGCAGAGCCTTCACCCGGTGTGTATACTATCCTGGGTTCAACCTTCAGTACACCTAAAATTAAATAAAATAAAAGTAACTTGGCCACATTTTAAATCTTAATTTTTGTGTGTGTGTGTGGTTATTGTTGTTGTTGTGTTTTTTGTTTTTTTTTTTTTTCATTTTTAAAAGAGGTAATTTTACAAAGAAAACTAGAATAAGAAACATTTCCATGCCAAATCTAAGATGGATGGATGGAATAAACTGGGTATGTAAATGTGGCTCACAAGGCAGAGGAATATACGGTTTAAACCAGCCCATGCTACGTGGCAAGACCCTCCCTCTTTCATAAAAGGGTGATTTTTTTGAATATGACTCCAAGTCTATAAAGTATTTTCAGGTTTTATTTTTGGCATATCTCTCCCCAAAGCACAAACAGCCGAAATTAAACGCTATCCTGTCCTCCATCTCCGAAGCTTTCACTTTGTCACCCAGAGAAAGGAACAATCCCAGAGGCTCATAACTGGAACTGACTGGTGATATGTTGAAGAATCACCTCTAAAACACTATTAGCATGTGCCCATGGCTCTTAAAATGGCAAAAAGTCTTCACCTCCAAGTTTCTGTCTTTCTTTATTTAAAAAAAAAAAAAAAAAAAAAAAAAAAGGTTTGACCTCTAAGCTGCTTTCTGGGTGGTTAAAGAAAATGGGGGTGGGTGGAGCTGTAGGATGTATGAAGGTCTGTCCTAATGAAAACAGGTAAGTGTTTAGAGATCCCCCTGATAGTCCCCCTCTGCTTCCTGGGGAAGAGAGGAGAGAGCAGCCTTCCAGCCCAGGCCATAGCTGTGTGTGGGCACTCAAGCCAGAGCAGCATGCCTGGAGCCATTTCTCCAAATAACTACTCACTCATTTCAGGCTGCCTCTGACACAGGACCATGAGGGTTGCTGTGGCAACAAGAGGGAATGCACTCAGAGCCTACAGTGGAACTCTGAGGAAGGCAGTGAGTGGGTCATTGTTCCCAAAGATCCTGCAAGTGAGATCTTGCTCAGCTTCTGTTTGCTTATTTTCTTGACTCAGTACTATCCTGGTTGCTCCTGAGTAAACAAGAAATGCTGGTGTAACTTGAAGCTGAATTCAGAATTCTGTGCTGGTCTGGTTTTCTTTTCTCCATCTGCAGCTTCACAGATCCCTTCTGATGAGATCTGTATTTGCATAGTGTCACAATTGATAATAATAATGTCATCTTTTCCATATAAATGGAAGCTAGGTATTAAAAGCAAGGTATTGAGGCAAAGGGTATTAATTACATGATAAAGCCAGGTATGGTGACTCACCTCTAGTCACAGCACTTGGAAGGTAGAGGCAGACAAATCTGTGTGTTCTAACCAGCCAGGACTACTTAGAGAAGCCCTTAAAACAAATAAGTAGGTTTAAATTTTTCTTTTTTATGATTTTTGCCTTCTCTCTTTCCATCTCAGACTTATAGTTAAAAGTTTCAACTTCAAATTTTTATTAGTTGTCGACTCTCCTGACTTTTAATCATATTGACTACACCCAGTATTTTAAGAGAAGGACCCACTGATGGAAGATGTTGGACTTTAACATTGAGAAGATAACACCAGTATTGTCCTTCTTGTGTTTTATTTAGATTTCGACACAGTCCCAACTGCTGGTACCTGAGAGACTGGACTATCCACACCTGGATTAGACAGTGTCTGAAGTATGGTGCACAAGACAAAGCCTTGCATACCCTTGTTCATAAGGTGAGGGTTTCCTGCCAAAGGCTTGTATACCCTTGTTCATAAGGTGAGGGTTTCCTGGCATGCTTCCTGGGGGTATGTGTGATCTGCTATTTGTACTTACGATGGTGCCATAAAGAGGGGTAGCAGAAGACACATTAGGTTGTCCCCTCAGATTCCTTCTCATGCTGTAACTGCTTCTTTTGCCAACAGAGTGCTCAGAAAGGACAGTTGGGGTTGGTGTGCAGTGGACTGCCGCACTGCTGCTCACTTCATTTTCATCCTTCAGCCTTGGAGTCCCTGTCTGCCTCCCTTCTGTAAGCTTTGGGTGAATAGTGAGCTTTTTCAGTGGACTGTGATCTCCAGCTCATTCTGAGCATCTTGACACTTTTTAGAAGACATTATTCCTGGATAATAGTTCGTCCTTCCTCCTAAACTTCATAGCTCTTCCTCCCCACCAAACCTCAGAGCTCCCATGATCAAGGTCTTTCCCGTGTTACACTTCATCCAACACTTTGGTCGTCAGTGACTTCATGGCATAAAAATATTATTCAAAATAAGCACGGGTTGTAGAAGTTACTGTTGCCAGAGTCAACGTAAACACCATCATGAGCCATTAAAGAATCTTAACAATGGGGCTGGAGAGATGGCGCGGCACAGAGGTTGAGGGCGCTGACTGTTCTTCCAGAGGTCCTAAGTTCAATTCCCAGCAACCACAGGGTGGCTCACAACCATCTAGAGTGAGATCTGGTACCCTTTTCTGACATGCAGGCAGAACGTTGTACACATTTAAAAACACAATTGTAACAGTATTTTCATAAAAATATATTATGTTCATAGTATCACCAGAACTTGAAAATTAGAGTTCAGGCAGAATACTGATTTTGTCTTTGATTCTTCTCTGTGAAGAATGATTTTTGTTTATAACTTAGCCTCAAATCAAATCAACATTATCTTCTACCCATTATTTGTGTGGGATGATAGATTGACTATCTATCAACTTCTATGGACATGAAGATAGAAATGAACAGTATCTCATTCCTACCTAGTGGACATAAAGCAGATACCGCTCCACTGGTAAACCTCACATTGGAGAATTCTAAGTGCCATACAAGAGGATTTAAAATGACAGAAGGAAAGGAAGCTGGAAGGAAAGAAGTAGAGGACATGAGTGCATTTAAACTATCTCCAAAAGATGTTCATGGAGTGGAATGTGTGGCCCTTTTGTCCACAGTCATGGTTATATTTATTCCGAGGGGACCAAGTCAGAGAAGGACAGTCAAGGTTTTAAGGTTTCAGTCTCAAGAAAGAAAGGAAGGCCCCAGGGGAAGAAAGAGATAAAATCTCATTCTCCTCATTCCAGAAATTACACTCAGAGATGAAGATCCCTGTGGAAACAGATTCCAGAAGGATCTAAAAAAGTAGAGCAAAGATCTCTTCTCTGTTGCTTCCAGGCCTTTAAAAAGAGAAGTCACCAGTTGAGGGATCAGAAAACCTAGCCTGTAACCCCTTGGGCTCTGTCAGGTGCCCGCAATGTCAGGCAAATGGTTTTCTCCTTTGTGTCCTGTTTTTCTCTGCTCCAACTTGAGTGAATTGTATTAGTGATTTACAGTCTGAACTTGCCTACTGGAGTTCCCCACAGGTTTTTAAATTTACAGCTTGAGGCTGGGAAGATAGCTGAGTCAGTATGCTTACCACAAGCAGGTTTTGGGTGGGGATCCCCAGCACCCATATCAAAGTTGAGCAGGACAGCCCGTCCTTGTATGTACACACACATACATATACACACACAAACTATTAAGCATTACAAATACTTGTCTTTACCCCTACTATTCTGATTTAAACACTCTTTCTGGGTCTAGGCATTTGGAGTTCAAAGCATCACTTAGTGGAAGAGCAGAGATTTTCAAACACTTCTGTCCCAGCACACACACAGCCTTCCCTGACCAGTGTCCTGCTCCTGGAATGGGACATCTGCTGGAATGGAACATCTGTGGTGGACACACATTAGTGCTCAGAACCCACAGTTTACATCAGAGTTCATTCTTGATGTTGTGCATCCTGTGGATGAAATGCTTAATGACATGAGTCTAGCAGAAATATTCATCTGCCTTTTCATCCTTCCCAGGGACTTTTACATCAAGCTTCACTTGATCCATGGCCAACGTTGAGAGTCCTGTACTGGCTTATTTCTTTTTGTTTGTTTTGCAAACCTTACCCTGAACCCCGGATTAGATCTTGCTGTGTAGCGCCAATTGTCCTATAACCCACCTTAGTTCTGTCTCATCCTTCTAAGGAATTATGAGCACCATGCCCAGCTTGGACCACTTAATTTCAAAGGTCTTTCTTAGCTCTAATGAATTATTGTTCTGAAATATTATTACTTTAGCCTTCCTTGGATTGGAGCTGATGTGGGTGAATTCTCTGAAACCCACAGGCTCAGCCTCTGACACTGGAATACTTCAGCCCAGCCAAGGCATCCTGTGCTACTGTCCTGAGTCCGTTTAGTGATGCACACCTCCCAGGGTGTAGTGAGGCAGGGAAGGTTCCCCGGGTGTTTCTGGTAGTTGGTGACACCATGGAACAGAGAGGTTAACTACTGAAGTAAGAATTGGGGATAGTATTATAACTGTGGTCTAGGTAGTAGGTAATCAGGCTCAAGTGTATATGAAAATCACAGAAGTCCACAAAACTTCAGGGTTCCAACCTAGTTCTGATGCTGTGGGGCTGAGACTTTGAGGTATGAATTATTAAAATGCCCCTATCGAGCCCCTAGAACAGGCGCTGAAGCATCCTTATTTATTCCTAAAGGATTATTTTTAAATTCTGACTTCTTAAATGTGCAAGTAAACAGAATCCTAGGAGTTTGGTTTATAGCAAAGCATTGGAATATTTCTTGGGTATTTAGAAGCTCAAGCCCCAGACCATATTCTGTATAATTCATGCTTTTTTTTCTTCTTTCTTTCTTATGGTCTGTTTCCTCATTTTCATTCATACCTGTGGGAAGAATCATTGGACCAGCTATGTGTGGAGGAGGGGATCGGGGCTTTGTCTTTCTGTTGTGGTTTTAGCTATGATGAGCTGTTGTAGTTGAGCCCTATTTCCACGTATCAGTTGTCAGACACCCACTGACAACATTCTCCCCTGACCTCATGAGTCATAGCTTCCGTCTCACTATCACAGGTGCTGCAGAAGGATAGTTAGGTCCCTTAACTCCATGGCACAGAGGTTTGTCCTGAGTAATTTAAAGGTGTATATTACAGACTGAATTAGAGAGGATTTCTTTCTCTCTACAGATTCAGTATGGAATTTTCCCAGATAACTTTACATTCAATTTACTGATGGACTGTTTCATAAAGAAAGAAAATTACAAAGGTAAGAAACCAGATCATAATTCAGTTAATACAGGCCTTTCAGCCCCAAATGGAAGTGTACAAATGCAGACAGCTTCCTCCTCCTTCATTTCTTAATTACATCTCTTTATGTTACTCTTTTAGTCAGAAAAGTTTACATGAAGATTATTATCATTTGTGCCAAAAATGTTAAGTATCACCCTTGCTATTGCTGGGATAGAAAATGTCAACATATGTAAGTGACGATAGAGGAAAAGTAAACTATACGGGACACTCTGACTCTACTTCTCAGCTGATTGAAATGCAGCGTATAGAGAATAAAGTGGAAATTGATTTAGTTTTCATGTGTAACCTTAGAATCTATAGTGAACAGTTGACATTAAATTTACAAACAGACAAAAAAGGTCAGTTAGGTAGCTCAGTGGGTACAGGTGCCTGCTTCCAAGCCTAAGGACCTAAGTTCTGTTTCTGCCGTCCACATGGCAGGAGAGCACGGACACCCACAAGTTGTTTTCCGCAGACCTCTACACTCGCCCCATGGCATGAGTGCACACACATGCACATGAAGTAAATAAAAATAAGGTAATAATGCAATAAATTAATTAATTAAAGTATGGCTTCAGGAGAAGAAGAAAAAGTAGAGACTTAGAGCTGGAGAGAGGGCATGGTAACTGAGAGCACTTGTTGCTCTTATGCAGGACATGGCTCAGTTCCTGCACCCAATGGCAGCCAACAACCCTCTGTAACTCTGCTTCTAGGGGATCTGGTGCCCCCTTATGGCCTCCTCGGGCACTACACATGTGTTGACAGATACATATAGCCAAAACATCCATACCTATAAAGTTAAAATTTTTTAATCTTAACAAGAGGGCTGGAGAGGTGGCTCACAGGTTAGGAGCACTGGCTGCTCTTCCAGAGGTCCTGAGTTCAATTCCTAATACCCACATGGTGGCTCACAACCATCTATAATGAGATCTGGTGCCTTCTGCTGATGTGCAGGCCTACCTGCAGGCAGAACACTATACATAATAAATAAATAATCTTACAAAAATTCTTAACAAGCAAATAGGCTTTAGTCCTGGTGCTCTCTGAAAATTAGCATGGTTATTTAAAAGAAAGCCTCACCTGGCATGGTTGTGCACATGTTTAAACCCAGTGCTTGGGAAGCAGAAGCAGGGTTCAAGTCCAGCCTTTCTACACAGTGAGTCTTAGTCTAACCAATGCTACATAACAAAAACATGTCTTAAAAACAGGAAAGAAAAATCTCTTCCAGGTCCTTACTTTGCTAGATTTGCTAGGTGCTTTACTGGTCTGTCTGTCTCAGTTTCCCCATTTGCAAAGAGAGTAAGAGCTGACGCCTTTTCAGCCTCCCATTGCAGTGTGTGCAAAGCTGGCTAGGAGCAGCTGCTGGGGGGGGGGGGGTAATGCTTCTGTAGCTGTGAGTGCATGCAGAGTGAGCAGAGCAGCACACGCAGACAGTGGGCGACGTTTGCTATGCTTGTGGCACGTGCAGGCATTCTGTTCCAGGGTTAGCACTAACATTCTCTACCTTGACCACGCTTTACTGAGGGAAAGGAATTGTTGGAACTTGCTTTTTTTCTTTTTTTAGCTTTTGTCTGTGTTGTAGAATATCAAGGGAAAATAGGAATCATCAGGGTCCATTCTTCTACGGCCAGCATTCATGTAGACATAAATAACATATGCTGTATATTATACTCAAGGGCTTATAAGTTATGAAGGAACATTTTCCTTTCCCTTCTTCAATTCTCTTAAACTGTTCTTTGAAATAATACCCAGAGTTTGGGAGTTCCTCTAGCCTTGGTCTTGTTTTGCCTCAGCAGTGAGAGAGCATCATAATGGAGAGAGAGGCAGGCAGCCTGCTCCTGCTTGCTTGTCAGGGTGACCTTGAGAGTGGTGTGCCTCTTTTCCCTGTGCCTTAGCTCTTCTGGCTGATGGACATTGTGTGAGGCATTTTCATATGCATTATCTTGTTGAAGTCAATAGAGCAGGCGATATTTGATCTTCATGAAGATGCTGCTTACTGTGGGCCACAAGATAGTCAGGGCTTAGCTCCATGTTTGCATCACTGATGCCCAAGCTCCTGATTCATTTGCGCGCGCAGTGTGCACAGTAGGCGTGAATGGCTTGAAAAGGACCTGCTTCGTAGAAAAACTAGGACGAGACCCAGGTTTCCTACTTCTCAGTTCTGCTTATTTTCCCCTGTGCTAGCTGCACTTGGAAAGAGTGTTTATATTTGGAAATGTGGTGATGCTACCTATAGCTAATTTCCTCTCGTGCTCACCTTCACCTTCTTGCCAGATGCTTTAGCTGTGGTTTTTGAGATCATGTTGCAAGAAGCCTTTGAAGCGCCGTCCACCCAGTTCCTCTCCCTCCATGTTTTATACCACTGCCTCGCAGAGAAGACAGACCTCACGGTACGTGATTGCCCTAACACAGGACTGCGAGCCTGCGGAAAACCACGCAGTGATTGCCTGCCTAGGCAGAAGAGGGCCAAGGAAGCCTTGCGCTCAGAGCCTGGAGAAAAAAAAATATCCATGTGCAATTCTGGCCATGTACAACAAGAAATGAACATTCATTCAATGTGTTTTTGTTTTTGTTTTTCCTCGTTTCTAACAGTGGTACTGGATACTTCCTATGTAAAAGCCCTTATGCATGTTTATGGGGTTGGAAGAAGTCATTTTTGCTTTGGTATTGGGGGGTTTAACCCAGGGCCTCTTGCATGCATCTTACTATCGAGCTACAGCCCTAGACACAGTTTGAAACTTGAGCCAGTCCAGTGACCTCAGACAATCCAGAAATGAGTCCTTGATAACTACTGAAAGCCAGGCATGGTGTGTTAAAGAAGCAGGTGGGTGGTCGATTTTGAGCTAGTGTATTTAATGCTGACCATTTTGCTTGCTTCTGAAGAGAAGTGGAAGGGGGAGAGGCAGGAGGTGAAGGCTTGCTCTGTGTTGACTGGCAAGGAAGAGTATAACATGGGCACTCCTTGGTGAAGTGGATCTGACCTACTCCACACTGCCAGCACAGTGTCCTATGGACCTAAAGGGTTTTGGAGTTGAGACTTCTTTTAAATTGGAGAATATTTGCACAGTAAGGTAAAAGAGATGGAGCCAAATATCAACACAATATCCAGATACATTGTCATCTGCCACCCACCTACCCACACATTGCGTTGGAAAAGTGACCAGGTCCTTAATTAGCAACTCTTCCTTATCTGCGCCATGGAAGCCTTTATGGAGTTTCTCTCTAGGGGTCCACTGGTTTCCAGGGTGTAGGAAAATCGCAACAACTGGTGCTTGTGCTGCATGGAGCATGGTCAGATCTGTGCCCTTAATACCGCAGAGCCTCCCTCCATGGCAGGGCCCCGCTCTACGGGCAAAGCCTGGCTCTGTAGGCAGAGCCCCGCTCCATGGACAGAGCCCCCCTCCATGGACAGAGTCCCCCTCCACAGCCCCACTCGGGCAGAGCCTGCTCCACGGACAGAGCCCCCTCCCCCTCCGTGGGTAGAGCCCGGCTGATGGCAGCAATTGCAGTTGGTAGGCATGCCTTCTCTGCCTCTTCCCTAGCTTCTGGGGCAGAGACAGACCATGCAGCCTGGCACATGGCTGTGGGAAAGGGCCGCAGCCCTGCCCTTGTACAGGGCGTTAGAGAGGTACGGCTCTATTGTCATTGTCGCCGGACCTTCTCTGAGATCGCGTTCCGAGTGCCCTAGGCACAGTTGTTACAGTTGATGTGTGGCAGTCCCGGTGAGGCTTGTAGCTTTGTCCTTTTTTTCCTTGTCTCAAAAGGCTTCAATTTTATTGAAGTACAATTTTACACCCTAGGTGGAAAGACATAGTAAGTGTTTCTGATTGCCTAGTGTGTTTTTAAGAGGCACGAATCTATCTAAAAGCAACTTAATGGTGTACTTATCTTAACCATGAAAGTCCATCGCTGCTTGGTGAGTGCGCTCCCCCTCTCTGCAGCAGTGCAGCTATGAAGCTGACAGCCTGCGCGGCCTCTTTGACCCTCCCAACTCAGCGTGGGGCCAAGGTGTATTCTATTTTCTTGTCTTTTTTTCTTACTGTAAAAAGCACTGGTTCATTACCAAAGGTATGGAAAATGAAAAGCACAAATAAAACCAAAATGACTTCCTGATTTCACCACCCAGGAATCGTCTTAGTTGTATATAGGGCATTTCTGTTCTGATTTTTTAAAATATAAATACCTTTTATTTATAGTATTGGAATAACTTTTATACACTTTTGTTATTTTCATAAGCTTAATACAGGCATTCAGTGTCACTAAAAAATAATATTTTGCATGAAGTATCTGTAGCTTTCCTAGACAGTGAGCGGCTGTATTCTGTTGCAGGAGGAAGAAGAAAGGAACTTTGGTGCGTCCCTGTTGCTTCTGGGCCTGAAACAAAGGAACCTAGTAGGCTTGAGCTCCCAGCTGTACGGCTGCGCACTTCTCGGTAAGCTGAGTGAGCCTTGCTAATGTTCTTTGTGGAAAGACGGGGCACAGCTTTTTGTCTCCTACTAACAGTAAAACTTCGTTTCAATTTGCTAGTGAAGTTCCAGTTATAACCTACATAACAAAATAACAAACAAACATATACATAATATACATAACAAAATAACCTTCCGTGCGCATACAGTTATGGATAGCTAAGGCCTGTCAGCACACCTGTCACCACTGACAAGGTCAGAACTGGTTCTGTTACCTGTAGGTAAAACTCACCTTTGGTCACTGTGAAGAAGGGACAGCATAAGGAAAGTTCTGGCAATCTATCAGGAGAACTAGCCAGTGCTCCTCACAGTATTAACCAACTACAGTCCAGGAGCTAAGAAAGAGATAAGGGCAGATGGCTTCTTTAACTTTGTTCCAGGTGAGGGAGGAGAGGTCAGAGAGCACACTCCTGGGAGAGTCCTGTGTCGGTCCCGTGAGCTTACACAGCCCTGGTGCCCACTGTGGTGGGGAGTGGGGTGGTGCAGAGGAACAGCCTCCGCACCTGGGTTGTGAGGGTCTGCAGACCCTGCAGCCTGGCTGCCATGACCTTGTCCCCGTTTACAGTGATCATCACATGTACACCTCAAAGCCAGGCTTCCCTGAAAGTACTTTTTCTTTGTTCCCTGCTCCTGCCTGTCTATCCGAGTTATAACTCTTTGTTATTGAAGCTCATCTTTGCCAACAAAATAGTTTGGATTTCTTGGGTGTTGATTCTGGTATAAATTGCTGGGAGACCTTAGTTTGTCTCAGTTTATCTCTGTCAGACTGGCTAGCAAACTAACACAAGTCTTCACTCTTTGTTGTTCAGTTTTTAGTGTCTTGTTTTGTTTTATTTTGGGAGTTTGGGGTTTGGGGTTGGTTGGTTGGAACAAAGTTTCATGCCCATGGCCTTGAGTTCACTGTGTAGCCATGGAGGAATACTTTGAACTGCTGATCCTCCAGCCTCTACCTCTTAAGTGCTAGAATTACAGGCATGCCTGGTTTATGTGCTGCTCTGAATTGAGCCCAAGATCCTAGGCAAGCCCTTTACCAACTGTGCTATATCTTCAATTTTTGGCCTTTAGAGACAAGTTCTTGCTACAGTCCAAGCTAGTCTCACACTTGAGTCTTCCCATCTCCATTCCCTAGGTGCTGTGATTGCAGGAGTCTGACACTATTTTTTTTTCCTTTTGTGTTCAGATTAACATTTAGGACTGCTGTATTGCATGGATCATTCAGAAAGCTGGCGAGGCTAAGAAAATGTACTTGACTGTTGTTTGTGTATAGAGGCCCTGTGATGGGCAGCCATGTGATCAGATACAGCCCATCCCCCAACTCCCCACCCCCACCCCTGCTCTCATTGTAGCCTGCTCTGCAGCCTCACTCATCTCAGGCCAGCAGCCCAGAATGATCCCTGTACAGCCCAAGCACCTTAAAGATCTAAAATTAGCCATCTCCTGATAAGCTTTGTCTGTTGGTATCCTCCTACAGCTTCCCAAATCCTCCTTTCCAGGAAAGATGAGTAGAGGCAAACTTAAGACCCAGCTGCCCAAGGTGACTTTGCTCAGCAATGCTGAGAGGGTTCTTCCCCCTGGTGCAGACAACCCCTGAACATCCCAGGACCCTCCGCCCCACCACAGCTTGCATGATAGTTTGAGGAACCCAGGATAAATTCAGGCCCTATGAGCCAGGAGGTTGCTGGGACTCTGACTTAAGAACTGATAATTCTCAAGAGAGTGTGTTGTTTCCTTTTTTCATAAAGACAATAGATTGGATATTTAACACTTTTCAAAACATGTCAGACATTTCCTGACAGGGGAAGGTCATCAGATATTCACAGGCTTTTCACAGTAGGAAAGTGAGATTTCTTTTTCTGGACTAAGGTTTTGGCCTTGAAACAAAAATTAGTATTATCATTTTCTTGTGTCTTTAAGGGTGGCCTTCTGTAGAATCAACTGTCAGTCTCTCAGAATTCCTTAGCCCAGAAATTCATGAGCCCAGGTGAATCTCCAGCCAGATGAAGCACATAAAACAAGTTCTCAAAGCTTGCATTTAAAACGTGCAGGGTGAGGCTCCTTGTCAGGCTGCCTTTTGCTGGTACCTTCCAAGCCTTTGGGGATGGGGAGCCATGCTGAGGAGTGTTTGTTGCTCTTGGCCACAGGGAAGGTGGAACTGCAGCGAGGGCTGCGGGCTGTGTACCACAACATGCCTCTGCTGTGGACCCCAGGCTACCTCGACAGAGCCCTTCAAGTGATGGAGAGGGTGGCTTCCTCCTCTGAAGACCTCAAGCTGTGTAGAGAAGCGGTATGCCCCTCCCACCCTGCTCAGGCAGATGGAGCCATCGCTGTCTGGCTGAGTGGTTTGAATTTGTTTCCATTCTCTCCCCCCTTCCCCCTGCTTTCTAAATTTGTATAGAATTGGCATTTATTCAGTTGAAAAGGATGAAAAGAAACCACAAACATTTTCAGTGTTGCTGACAAAAAGGCAATGGAAAATAAAGTTATTGTTGATTTATACCTCATTATGTAAGAGGAATACTGTTCCCTCCCTTGATATTCAAGCTCAGATCAATAAATACCATCCTCTCTACCACCACTCCCATCCAGAAGGAATTAATGAGGGTATAAGAGAAAGAGTAAATAATTTTGGTGGATTTATCCCTTATGTAGTCTGGAGAGACTAGATAGCAATTTTCTTTATTATCCTTGGCTATCGGTAAAGCATTTGGCTCACCAGGTTAAGTATCTGAGTTCAGATCCCAGAACCACTTAAAAAGCCAGGCACAGGAGTGCAGCTACAGGCCAGGTAACGGCAGGATGGGAAGCAGAGAGATGTGGAACGCTAGAAGCTCGCTGACCAGCCAGCCTAGACTGCTAGGTGAAGTTGCAAGCCAGCAGACCCTGTATCAAACAAAAAAGCAGAAAAGGCCCGAGAGTGACGCCTGAGCGCGTCTTCTGAAGTCCACATGCAGGCACACACCAGCACGCACTCAGTCTTCATCCTGCTACACAGAATCTGGGCACTGGAGAAGACTCCATCTTACTTTGTTCCCATTGGACTGTCCTGCAGTGCATGTGATGGCATCTGTGTCACGTGGTCCTGCAACATTCTGAGGTGTTTATTTCAAACATTGTCCTTCCACTTGTACCAAAGTTCATTTCTTAGTCACCTCAACCCCTTGACACTGTGAGTGCAAAGGGCTTAGTCAGACTAAGAGACATAGGAGGCCTTCCACCTGACATGGAATCACAGTGCTTCCTCCTATCCCTGCTGCTCTCCCAGAGAGGCCCAGACACTTGTCACATCAAAATGAAAGGTTGCCTTGGAGATGCTCTTTTGTGTGGCCTTCACCCTGAACACTGAGGCCCACCCCTTGGCTTTCATTTCAGTCATGAGGTACCCGGTCCAGTGCCTACCATGGCACTTTATGCTGACTCCTACTGACACCATAAACATTCTTTCCCGGTCATTATAACCAAGGAATACACGCAGTGTGTGTGTGTTTGAAGCTGGCTGTATTCAGTGCCGGTAGTTGAAAATACAAAATTATACACAATTCTTTGCAGGGATACATTCCTTCTAATTTCAGCCAACTTTACATGCTCTGTATTCTAATTTATGGGGATGTGATTTGAAGGTCAGCAAGAATGTGCTGTCTGTCTAGTCTCTGTGTAAAGGTTAGAAGCAGGCACCTTGCTCTGCTGTGACGCTGGTGGGGTGATCATGTCCAAGCAGGTGCTTGTGCAAGCCCAGCTCTCGTGAGCTCTGTCTGGGTTAGGGTATGGGAAGGAGCAGCACACACTGGAGGTGGACAAGTAAATGCCAAACAAGAAGAACCCCCATGTTTTCAGTTGCTCACTATTTGAGTCATAGAAATCGCCACCTCATTAAAATGAATTTCCTGTGCACATCTCTGCCTTGGCCAGATTAGGCCGACCTTGATTTATATCCACTCTGTGCTGGAGCCACTCTCTGCAGGAGGCCGTTGCCTGTCTCCAGCAGCTTTAATGTGCAGAGAAGCCTTTTGTTGTTTGTGGTCTGTGGTGGGCTTTCTTCCCCTTTGTCCCAAGTCCAGACTGGCTCCAAACAAAGACATGAACGTAGGGAGGTCCTTTAATGCCCATCAAACTTCATTCCTGAGTTCCTACCTGGTTAATTAAAAATAAAGTTCACTTACCACTGTGCTGTTCACTCACACAGATGTTCCTTAGCTCAGGTTTGTAGCTTTTGTTATACCAAATTCCTTGAGCTGTCTGAGAGGGTGTTACTAATGTATAAAAATAAAATTATGTTTCCTTCTTTTTCTTTATTGAACCCAGCACCTCATACATACATGGACCACCATTCCAGGAACCCGTCGATGTTACCCTCACTGTCATCCTCAGTCTTGGGGGGGGGGTGTTTTTTTCTTTGTCTTTGGACTTGTCAAGTCCATAACAAATGATGTCATTCTGGCCCTCTTGTGCCCCACAGCTCAATGTGCTGGACGGAGTCCTGAAGGTGGTGACGTCTCCAGCTGGCCAGGCTTCAGAGACACAGCCCCAGGAAGAGGAAGGCGGCTTGGGCTCAGCAAACCTGGTGGAGCAGCTAGACATTGAGGAACCAGAGCAGTCCAAGCTTCCCCAATACCTGGAGCGCTTTAAGGTGATTCATAGCAGAACTGAGCCTTTTCCTGCATCCGTCACACACAAAGGCATTAAAAACTCACATCAAGAATTGCTTTTGTATTGCTTCCCACAGGCCCTGGCCTTCTGAGAAACCAGTGTAATTTTTTTGATTTTGTGCTTGAAGCTAATCAGTCACGGTTCTCTTCACTACGGCAGCATGGCATCCTCAGTGGTCCCTCCTCTGTGCCTGATGGGTAGATAGTCCTTACCTCCTTCTAACAATAGCCTGACTCCACTCAGTGTGGAAAGTCACTCTCGTTTCTTTACACGACGCCAAATGTGCTCGAATGGAAACTCAGGGAGGCACTAGTCACACTTTCAGAAGAAATAAGATTCAGGCATCCTCTGTGGCTTGTGCCAGGCAGCTTTGTGCTAGCAGGACCATTAGAGACAATACCTTATGACTGCGTGGCATATGGAAACAGGTCTCCGGAACAGCGCTGAGCACTCAGGCTGGCTTTGAACTCTGTGTCCCAAATGCTGTGCTCTTCAGGGAAGAAAATCCATGGTCCTCCTCCCTGCTTTGTTTCATGTCTATTTAATACAAAAAGAAAAGAATCCTTTCTGCTTATTAAGTCATTATAGGAGCAGAAAAATTTCCCATTCTCATCAGCTGGCCGCCTGTGCCTTTTCACAACAGGTAGGGAGGAATGTTGCTGGTTTTTACCCTTAAGTGTGGGGCTTCTCGACCTTTCCCTGGACTCTAGTGGGGATGCCATTGCATTCTAGGCACTTGTTTCTCCCCACTTCTTCTGTAAGCGAAGCCATTGCTCAGCTTCTCTTCTGTAATTTGAAACTGAGAATAAAAAAATAATAATGTTCCTGTCATTCCCCTAAAACAAATCTGAGTGAATAATTTATACAGAGTTCTTCCCTGCGTCCCACAGACTCTGACTCATCATGCTCATGCTGGCTAAGGTTGCTGGGTCTCTTTTGGCTCATTTTTCCATCCTCATTTGAGGATGAAAACCGCGCCTTCACTGACTTCTCAGCCCTTCCACAATACACTTCATGAGCATTCAAGAAAGAACAGAAACAAGTGTTTTCAGGCTGAGAGCAGTGACCTTAGCTGTGTTAGGCCCTGCTGCACTTCCTTTATCCTCACAGGAGGCCTGAGTCTGTCTGTAATTGAAGTTGGGATTTGGACAAAAGTCTGCTGCCTCACAGTTGAGATTTTATTCTGGTGTCCCTGGCTATCTCTTTAGCCTCAGACTACCTGGAAAATTACGTCAAAAAGAAATCATTTTCAGTTTACATTTTCTTTTCTTCCTGTTGCCTGATTTTCATTAGTCTGAGGTAATCTGTTTGGGGCTGTTTTCTATAATTAGACCTCTGTCTGCTCCTTGGAGCTCGTGGCCTTGCCTCCTCCCACTGTCTTCCTGGCCAGGTCTTACCCTGTTGCACTATGTCATCTGAGAACACGGCCCTGTGTGGCTGTGTCGCAGCTGCTCTAAAGGATGCTCCCTGGCGATGTGCGTCTTGAAGCACTTAGGTAGATTAGTGCTTTTAGTACTTCTCAGGGAATACTGCACTGACCAACCAGGCTGCCAGCTCAAATGGAGCTGTAGGCAGGCAGGAGGTACGGGCTGCCCTGCAGGGGCACAGCAGGTGGAGGTCTGCAGTGCACCAGCACTCCAGAAAGCTGTTTGACATTGCTGAGGAAGCCTTAGCCACTGCCACCTGTTGAAAGGAACCCGGGGAAGTGACACTGAAGTCACTTGAATGAAAAGAAAGGGAAGGCTCTCCCTTCAGACATCCCTGCCATCTTGTTTGCATCCTAGAATCTGGGCACTTGGAGCTCACTGCTTAGTTTGGAGCAGGCAGGAATGGAAATATGTGTTACAGTTCTGCTGGCCTGGGGCTTAAATAAGAGCTGACTCGGGGAACAGGGCTGTGGAGCTGCCCTCTGTGTGTCAAGCTGGGCTGATCCCTGTGCTGCGCTGCCCTGTCAAACCTGCAAGCAGACAATGCGGGCTTTCAGCTGGGGACTCGGTGGCGTCTCCTGCCCTCTCTTTCTCCACCTGCTCCCTTACCTTTATTTGCCCTCTGTTTCTAACAGGTCTCTCAGTCTAAGCTGCAGGAGCTGGGCAGAGTGGAGTCCGAAAGTCTTCTGACCCTGACCAGCCACCTTGTAAAAGAAGAGCTTCCCGCCTGCGAGGCCGAGGACCTGGCCGCCTATGAGCAGAAGCTGCGTGAGTGGCACCTGGAGCAGATGCAGTTGATCCAGAGGGAAGAGGCACAGCGGGAAAAAGCGAAACAAGAATACCAGGCGCTGCAGGCAGCAAAGACTGCGGCCTGAAGGGCCTCAGGCCACCCTGGCATTCGTCACAGGCAGGGTGTGACTCAGCCCCTGCTGTCCAGCTTCTTTTCTTACAGGAAGCTGTGTATAGCCTGAAAGCTAGACATGCTGCATGTCAAGACAGCGTGTGCACCCAGATGTCAAGAGCCAAGGAACTAAGAGAGTGTCAAATGGTTGGGCTGACGCCACCAGCCAAATCTCTTATACGGGGCTTTCATGGCCCACAGTGCAGTCCTGAGCAGAATGTGAAAAGCTCCAGTATCCGCTGAGAGTGAGGGGAGAGGCTGCAGCTGAAGAGTGTGCAGCACAGTGTTTGAGTGATTTCCTGCCCTGCGCAGGCACCTAGGCCAGTGAGGCTGGTGAACCAGGTGCTCCCCCAGCCTACCTTCAGTGGACTCAGCAGCAGCTGCCGCCAGATGTGACACCTTTCCACTGTCTTCGTGGGCCGCATATTCTCCCTGTGTGTGCGCCATAAGCTTTCCCAGCCTGCATGCTTTCCATCCCCACTCTCGGACAGCCATTTGTATACCCCCTCCCCAATAAATCCTTCCTGTGACGTCTGTTGCATGGTAGCATTCCTTGGCACTCCAGTGGCCACAAAACAGTTCTATCTGAGACCTTATGCCCCATAGTCCCCTCACTAATGCAAATAAATATCCTGGTGATCTGGCTCTTGGTACTCATATGTTCCTATGAGTACCCCCACCGCAGCCTTCCCTCCTCATTCCCCTTTGGGAGAAGTCCGGCACAGAAGGTCTCCAGGTGGGTGCCTTATTGTAGGTACACACAGAGACACTTACAGGATGCAAGTGCTTTTGAGGAGAAACTTTGACCTGGGGGTGAAGCCCCTACGGCCTGGCCTTCAGCATATTGGGATAACTTCCCACACATTGTCAAATATGTTAAACGAGCCCTTGGTGTGCACGAGTGCACCGCTACACACACACATAGACAACTTTAGAGCAAACATTTCCAGTAAAGTAAAAAATGAGCGGGGATGAGTTAAACCTGAGAATTGCGAGAGAAAGACAAATTCTACAATTCAGGGCCAAATTTGAAGCAGACTTTAGTTAATTACTAGTCAGGATGATGGGCTCTGGGGAGGACCATTCTGGGATTCCCAGGAAATGGCAACAAGTCACATTTTGCTGCAGCTTATAAAAGCACACCCGTAAGGCCCCTGTATTTCCCATCAGGCCCCGTAAGGAACAGGCATATATCCTGACGTACTTCCTGCCTGCATACCTCCCTCCCACATGTGGTCAAGCACAGCTGGTGCAGATGGGACAAACGAATTTACGCTTAACTGTCTTAACTGCAAACAGCCACTAACCTGCAAAGTATATTTTCTCTGTTTGGTCTCCCGTTACTTTGCAGGGTTTATTCTTGTTTCTGGTTTTGGAACAACTGCATAGGTGATAGAAATCAGTGTACACTGGCAAAAGATGAGTATAATATTCCTGGAAAGCCATGTCATGTTGCCTCTAGGTACCGAAGTGCACCTTTGTTCAAAGGTTGTATTCTTCTATCAAAACTTGAGGCAATCATGACACCAAAGTAATTCCAGAACACTTACCTTTTGGGGAAAGGAGGGAGAGGGTCTTGCCCTTGTTACCTTTACTATTTTGAGCAGCACATTTTTAGCCCTCTTCCATCAGACTCTGACAAGTGTGGTAATAACAATCATTACTCAGTCATGAGGCTTGCAGTGTGCCAGTATCTTGGGCTGTGAGGTAGTGCCGTTATCCCTGTGCTATAAGGAAGGCAATAGAACTGAGTAGCTCCCCTGAGCTCAGTTGCTGCCGCCCCAGCCCACACTGTCCTCTCTGCCTCAGCCAGGGTGCAGTACTGACAGGTACAGGGTTATCAGCAAAAGTCAGGACTGGCACCCTCGTTTATCAAAGGCAGGGTTTTCTTTGCCATTCCTTTATAGATTCAGGATAAATCCAATGGCGACCAAGAAATGCCTGTTACAGTTGAAGCTTGTTCATTCTTTGGCTCCTAGTTTTGCCTTCGTTTTTCTTCCCCTAATGCCATTATTGCTGTTCCAGTCCTTGCTCGCAGAGATATTCCTGTCCCTGAGTCACCACCCTGGCAGGAGCCTACAAACTTCCCCTCCTCAGATTCCACTGTGACTGTGTCCCCATCGTGGGAACTCCTGGCTTTCCAGACTCTTTTCCCTTCCCCATGTACGTGTCTTCTAAAGTCCAGTGTCCTCCTCTCTCACTTGACAACTGAGGCTTCTGGCTACAGTTGTCCTCTGTCCCTTCCACTGATACCTCAGCCTGTGAGAATTTGGAGCAGACTATCTAAGGCCTTAGATTTGAAGTGCCTTTCTCTGCTTTTCTCATACCATGACCCCTGCTAAGCCAGCTTGTCCCTGCTCCTCCCAGCCGCAAACCCTTCATCTGTGCCCTGTCACCCTTCCTTGCTTCCATATAACCTAGACTCCATGGTTAGCCCAGGAGAACCCTGATGTTCACATTAGCATCTTCTCACATTATTCTGGCCCATCATCCGTGGACCTACCGCTGGAAGACCCTTAGTTATTCACTAAAAATGGTCCCTACTCCTCAGTACCTTAGAATCTGGCCTTAGTTGGGAATAAGGTCTTTTGTGGAGGGAATCAAATTAAAATGAGATTACTAATCCACTAAGACTAGTATTGAGGAGGGGGGTTGGATTGTAAAGACCAAAGCACAGCACAGAAGAAAGGCGGTATTAGAACAGATAGGGTAACCATGACCAGTCGGGCAGTTACGAGCTATAGGTGCCCGCCAAGCTCAGGACAGAAAAGGCAAGGAAAGAGTTTCTCCTGGAGGCTCAGACAACTCAGCCCTGCCATGACTGGGCTTCAGTCTTCGAGCCTCAAGAGTGTTCTGTCAGGCAACCTTGATGTTGGGTTCTTTGTAACAGCAGCCTTGGGAATAACCAGTCCATCATAAGTGTATTCTTTCTGTTTGCTTCTGAGCTGGTGTTAGTGTGCAAAGTAATAATTTGAGGCTGATTAAATTCCTCTTCACATTCCTCTGTCCTCTGAACTCATTGTCACTTTGGGCAGCTACAGACTCATTTGGATCTTAGCAGCCTCGCCACTCCACCCTGAGAACTGGGAAGATGCCTCCTACTTCGTCAGGAAAATGGGGCCGCATCACATAGCCTTGGTCTCCTTCCCCTCACAGTGTCCTAACCCTATCGTTTCTTTCCACCATCTCCCCTCTCAGGTGACAACTTGCTAGCTTCTTCCTCCTGAGAAGGTTAGACTCATTTATAGCCTCAGTCTGTACTTACTGGTACTTCAGGGATCATCGAGGATTCCCTTTCTACCTGGTATCAGCCCTATTGAGCTCGTCCATCTCGGTCTGAAGTCTGATTCAAATTCCCCTCCATCCTGTCATTAGTCAAGCTCATCCTTCCCCTTCCTTCTGTCAGCAAACTTCTTGAAATGTGGGTGCTGACTAGCCGGTGGTTTATTGATTCAACCTTGAATCAGTCCATAGAACAACATGTTCTTCCAACTACAGCCAGTTGCCTGCCTCTGTGAGTTCTTCCACTTGGCCCTACCAACCACCACCTGAGGAACTGTGGTCTGCATCATACATTCTGCACACAGTTATTCAGCATGTTCTGCATGCGGTGCACCATGCTAAGAGCTATGGAACAGGCCAAGATGAGGGATACAGACCCTCCTTGAAATAACTTAGGTTCCAGGGGCTGCAGAGATGGCTTAGTGGCTAAGAACACTGGCTGCTCTTCCAGACGATCAGTGTCCAGTTCCCAGCACCCTCATGGTGGTTCACAAACATGTCTAGCAACAGTTCTAGGGGATCAGGTGCTCTCATCTGGCCTCTGGGGAACCAAATACATGAGGTGCACATGCGTACATGCAGGCAAACACTCAGGTAAAGATGAACAACCCTCTAAAAGTGGGATTCCAGAGGCAGAGGAGGCCGCCTACTCACGTCTAGCAACACCCAGCTGAAATGATTCATACACAGGTAAAGAAACAGGGAGCTGCGGAAGAGCCGGGGAGACAGGGAAGCACTAATGAAGGAAAACGAGTCAAGAAGAAAACAGCATCTCTCGGGGCTTTGCCGCACCAACCTTTGCATTGTGTTTTACTACCTTTTACAAGGCTATGGCTATCTGGTGTGGCCGTGGGAGGACTGTAGATCTTGAGTGTGGGTGTGTGACGCATGTGCTGGTTCGTGTAGGTGTGCACACATGTCCCTGCGGAAACCAGCGCCTTAGGTTGGGTATCTTCCTCAGTCGTGCTCTTTCTCACTAGTCATCAATTCAGCTTCGCTGGCTGGCCAATGAGCGCTCTCTCTCTCGCTCTCTCTCTCTCTAATTCCCTCCCTCCCTCCCTCCCACATACACACTGCTGAGGCTATACATGTAGGTCTCATTAAGTGACTTAGGCTGTAATTCAGTCCTCATGCTCGCACAGGCGCTCTCTCCACTGCACCGCTAGGCCAGCCCAAGGTTGGAGAGTTTATGAGGAATCGCAAGTGGCCTTGAAAAAGAACAGATTTTAGCTCCTTTTCACCCTGACTGAAAACCAGCTCTGACAGCCTCCTGGTTTTGCTTTCAATACTGAGAAGTCAGTGTGCTGCTTTTTTGTTCTTCACTGCAGCTGCACGTGCCCTTTGAGGAATCGTTAACCAGTGCAGAAAATAAATAAACATAAGTGGCTGCTGAGGTGGAACAAGGAATTAGGACTGGGTAGAAGGAACAGTTTTAGAAGCCTGTGTCATTCGGGTCCCTGAGGTTTGGACAGAGTCCGCGGTTCAGGTGTAGGCAGGTTTCCTGCCTGGAACAAGGGATGAGGTGGTGTGGAGACGCACCCCACGAGGGCTATCACCACCCGCATCTGCTGCCAGGAGACGCTCAGGGCTCGTCATTTTCATAACCATTGCCAGCGAACTGGGCTTGGGACTAGCTCTTGGGAGTCCTGAGCCACCACTTAAGGGCTCTTTCCCCAGTGCGGTCTTGAATGGTGTGCCTCCTTTGCTTCTGTGGACTATGACCCTCTGCTGGGAAGTTTCTGGCTTCCTGTGACACATACACCACTAGCAGGCCCATTTTTCTGAGACTTAATCTGTAGCCCCTGCATACCAGAGCGAGTCAAACGTTTCAGCCTTGCTCTGTGTGGTTCTTCCCTGTCTCTGGGCTCTTTTGTTTCGGTAGATAAAGTGGAGTCTTGCCATGTAGCCCAGGCTAGCCTCATGCTCAATATCATCCATCCTTTGTTTCCTGAATACTGAAGAGACTATTCATTTTTATTTCCTCCTTGCCTGACTTCCCACTGTGAGGGGGCTGAAGGGATTAAACTGAGAGCTTTACCCTTGTCCCTATAGATTTTTGTGAACCATCCTTAGGGCAAGTTTGCCACACCCCTTACAGTGTTAACCCCTATCCATTTTATGGATTCTGAATTCCCTGAACTCAGCAGTGGCACCAGACTCTATGAAAAACAAGTTCTTACCTTCTGAATTACTGTGTCCAGGAACAGTCATAACCATGAGGAAAGCACTTATATTTACTGAGTAACATTTCCTCATGTTGAAAGTCTGAGGACAGAGCTATATTATTCTCCCAAGAGAACAACTGACATGCTAAAAGCCACATATACTAAGATGAGGGTTTGACCACAGGGAAACCTCTGTGAGTAGTTCAGACTAAGTGGTTTGTCAGCTCGATGTTTTAAGGGGAGGGAGAACATATCATAATTATCACTGTCTCACATGTATCCTACTAGGCAGCTTGCCCTGTGAGCACACAACTAGGAGGTGAAGCAGCTAGAAGCCAGCACCACTGTGCCCAGCAAAAGCTAATGCTTATTGATCATTCATAGCCAAATGGCAGAGTAAACATTTACACACCTTACTGTATTTAATCCAGAAGAACATGTTGAGTCCTGTTGCAACTGTGCTTCACACATGCAAGAAAACACACTCGTAGAAAAGTGATGAAGCATCGAGGCCATGGCCTCAATGGGACAGAGAGCCAGAGCCACGCCACATCAGACTTGGCAGGTGATTGTCTTGGAACACACACACACACACACACACACACACACACACACACACCCCACACCACAAAAGTAGGCTAGAAGGACTCAATTGGAGTGATCCCAAGGAGGCAGGTGAAAGGGGAAGAAATTCAACAGGGAAAGATGAAAAACCCTATAGGGAATACACAAGTTCGGGGGGAGGGCAGCCCCGCTCCTGCCAGTGACCCTCCAAGAGTGCACACCTCGGCAGCTTTTACCAAGGAGCGTGGCAGTCAAGTACATATGTGTGAACTCTTCATCGGGTGGCTGCACTGCTGGCCTTCTAGCATACTACCACAACGAGCAAAAACCCTGGCAGCTATCTACAGGAGCTGAGGTCATGCTTCTCAACCGATGTACTTTTCTCCCAGGGCACTTTCTGCAATGTTTGTTGGTATTTTTGATGCTCAGCTGAGGGGCTGCTATTGGGATCTCCCGAATAGAGGCCAGGTATTCTGTTAACCATCTCAGAGGGCACAGGAGGGCCTCCTGCCATGAACCCCTAGGACTCCCCAGTCCAAACTGATAGTTCAGAACCCTCAGCCTAAGACCTATGAATAGGGCACTCAAGAGCCTTTCTGGAGTGACAGAGATTAAACATACTGGGAGAGCAATTTGGGTTGTTTCTTTCCTGATCAAATATGCCTATGAGATGCACAATGAAGGGTAGACTGTTACTCGTTCTGAACATGGTTCCTCAGGGAAAGGGACAAATGATGACTTTTTTTGCTCCCAGCATGGGTTAGAAGTCTGGAGTTCTCAAGTGGACATGCTGTGACATGATCATGGAAGTCAGGGGACTATGATTCTGTTGGCACCCAATAGCCTTAGTAGGTGTGGATGAGAAGGGGCCTCATCTGAAAGAGGCCCATGTTTTGGCTTTTAGTGAGTCATAACAGCAGAAAATGTGATGCGGATGTGAACTTTGCAGCACCAAAGGTGATAAGCATTGTAAAATCCCACTTTATGAACAAGGGCCAAGAGAAGGGCTTTCCGACAGGGTAGCATCTGGAAGCTTGCCTCTTGGTCTAGCAACTTCTGGGCTTAAACAAAACAAACAAACAAACAAACAAACAACAACAAAACACCTTTTCTTCCCTCTAATTTGGTCTTTGCTTACAGCCCTGACAAGTTAAAAAGAAAAAAAATTAGAGGCAATGTCCCTCAGACCATGTCAATATATGTTTAAATATGTGTTTAAAGCAAGGTCATTACTTAGGCCGTGTGCGACTGACAGTGAGTATGCATATCAGATTCCCTGTCTGTCCTTGACATTGTCAGGAAAACAGGGAACTTATTCTTGTCAAACCCATAAGATTTATGAAAAGACTTTGTCAGTCGGGCAATGGTGGTACACCATTAATCCCAGTACTCAGGAGGCAGAGGCAGGGAGATCTCTGACTTCGAGGCCAGCCTGGTCTACAGAAGGAGTTCCAGGACAGCCAAGGCTACACAGAAGAACCCTGTCTTGAAAAGCCAATAAATAAATAATTTTTTATTGCCTAATGGTATAAAAGCATTTGTCCTCCCCCCCTTCATCTCCAGAGTTCAAAATATTAATCCTTAAAATACTATCGGAGGCCCTCTTCCGTATAAAGATCCCTGCAGTGTGCTGGGCCCCTGCTGGGAGGGGTGCCCCCTAGACATCATTGTCCGTCCACTTGATGGCAAAAGCCACACCCAGAAGTCTCCTTCTTGTGCGCACAAAGCCCCTCCCCTGGGCAGCTATTTGCTTGACTATAAAAGACACCAAAAATAAGTTGCAAAATTCGGTTTAGGCCCCTCTTGGCTGATCATCCACAGCCAGGGAGCCCACCACGAAAAGCCCGATCATGGTGACAAAATACAGACGACGAAAAAGAAAAAGCTAAAGATGCCTCAGTACACGAGTGAACTTTTGCCACTTTGCATTTTATTGTGGAACTGAGTTTCTGTTTTGTTTTGTTTTTTTCCTTTACATCAAATATCCTCAATGGAAGAGGGGATATTGCACACAAATATCATAAAAGCACTACATATTACTTTCACTGGAAACTAATTTTTCTACATTAGATATGACTGGATAGGATGGAAGTGATGCAGGATTATTAGACATAATACCATACACAGCTGCAGACTGACACAAACACCATTCAGAACAAGAGAGAGGAGTGAGCTTCTCCACAGCCGGGCTCGGGCTGCACACGAGCTGCAGGTGCGAAAAAGCAAGAACCATCACTGGGGCCAGGGCAGCTGAGCAGAGCCTCTCCAGGGTCCCTGCTTCTGGAGCTCCACCCACTCGGAGAAGCCCGTGGTGGTTATTATTAGCTGTTGTTTTTCTTCCTTTTCAGTTCTGGATGCTGCCCTTGAAATGAATTCATAAAGTCACAGTTTGTTTGTTTGTTTGTTTGTTTGAAATTGTAAATAGTTTAAATACCAGGTGAATAAGACCTAATTGCTACCAAAGCAGTGTCCATCTCTAGGCTGCTTTTGGTGTGTTGTTCAGCTGGTTAAATGATAAACGCTTACAGTTCCTTTCACATGGAAACAGAATCCTTTTTTCCTACATCTGAAGTACAAAAGGAAAAAAGAAAGAAAAGAAGAAAAGTCATTATCCTAACTCACAAAGGTCATTGCCGAGCAGGGACCTCCTGTGACAGGCAAGAAAAGCAACTCCAGAATTGTAGCGTTGTAGCGTCGCTCCCTGGAGCCGAGATTTGTAACAGAAATGGAAGGTGGTAAAATTCCCATTAGCAAATGATTAAATTTATAAAACGAGTATTAGAAAGCTTCTAAATTTCATAAGCTATTGGAAACACTTAAAACATTCAATATACACTGGGGAAAACATTCACTATGATATGTAACATTAAGAAAAAAGTTTTTTTTTTTTTTCTTTTGAATTTCATGGAAAATGGTGTTTGGGGTGAGGGGGGGTGGTCACTGTATCCAGTCCCATCACAAGACTGAGAAAGCATGCATGGGGGTTGGGGTTGGAAAAAGAGGACAGATTGGTTAAAATTGAAAACGGAGGATTATCTCTAAGATTTAGTCTCTGTAGAATTTTGTTTACAAACACTACCAAAAAGGTCATGATCAAGAGCGCTAGCTCAATAGAATTCCATCATTTAAACAGGGTGGAAATCCCTTCCACTCAAATATTCAATCTATACAATTGGATTAAGGATTGTATGCACAAATCTTCTAGATGTCTTTGTCAGTTTTTTAGTCCTCACCACAAATGTACATGGTCCATTGTGATGGCTGCTTCTAAACTAATTGTGTATGTATGGAACTAGCAAAATCAGACTAGCCACGCAGGTAGGAGAGGTGCCTGGGAAGTCAGGAGCCACCTGTAAAGCAAATGTAATTCACCCTGGTGTCCTCAGCCCCATGGCCACCACTGAGAACGGCGGGTGCAAAAGGGTGCTGCCAGATTGGATAGGAATCAGAGCCAGTGGATCGGTGACAGTTTTGAATAGTATTTTTCCTATTAGAACCTGTAGGAAAGATAATGAGTGTTGGGTAGAGTGGTTATAACTGAAGGCTGGCTATGGCTCTTCTAAGATGTTTATACTTTTAAAACAAAATAATATACAGGCTAAATAAATTTAATTTGGTAAACTGAGAAATAACTCCATCGTCTATAAAAGAAAAATCACCCAGAGGTCTGGATTTGGCAAGAAGGCTAGAAACTGTTTCTCTCTGTGTATATTATGTGGACCAGCCCAACAGCTACCATTAAATAACTACCTTGTGTGTATCAACTTGTCTCATGAAGTGTGAAGCAAATGAGGTTATAGTCAATGAAGTCTGTCTTCATCACGATGACTTTTCTATCATATATGACATGTTTGTACCTCTAATGCATTACTTTTGTGGGTTTGAAAGAAATAGGATAATAAATAAAAAATTGCATTCCTAGAGACACCTAACAAAAATAGAATATTAATTTTCTTTAAAAAATTAAACATTTGGAAAATGTGATTCACAGCATTAAGTAGACTGCACAGGTCCTCAGTGAGGGGACCCTGGAGAAAGTATTGTTTGAACCCTCAAGAGTAAATAGCAGTGCGAAACATATACTTCACAGACGAAAATAAACTAAAATGTAAATTTTGAAATAAATAACTAACGTAGAAAATAAAATGAGGTCATTGTTCACTACCCCGTCGTCTGCAGGAAACCTAGTGTGACAGCACAGGACGGCTGTCTCTGAGAACTCTGCCACCCCTGAACCCTGGCACACGGACCTGCCACTTGAAACTTGACATCACTTGTCCTCGTGATCTGGCCTTACAGGTTTGTGGTTCAGCGAGACAACGCTGGACACTATGTCTGAACTCTACATTGGTGAGCGTAGGAGCTGGGAATTCATTTGTTTTCAATCTGTTATTTCTTTCATGTAATGTTTTTCAGAAAAGCAAGCCCCCAAGCAAACTGGTGCTGGGGCTCTTCTGACCCGGGCTCTTTTACCACATGTTGAAGAACCCTGGAAGGAGAGGTGGGGCAGTACTGGGTAATGTACTAAGGCCCTGACAGTGGTCTACCCTGCCGCCCACCCACTCTCAAACAGCATGTATCAGACTGTTAGGTTATGAGAGTCAAAGGGTGGGAGGTATCACCATTTCTGGTGGTTATGGGTTTTTAATAAATATTACAACTTCAATATCAGACTTCAAATCTTGCCAGAACCTCAAAAACCTTCAATTTTTGTCTTACAAAAAACACTTAAAATAAAAAAGATCATCACTTGATTTTTTTTGCATTTTCCTGTAAATGAAAACATTCGTTAAAAAGTTCATCTAAGAAAAGTTCTCACTTATCTTAAAAAAAAATCTTCTGTACATGTGTTCCCATAATTGCGTTGAAATTAATGGAAAATTAAAATAGCCAATGCAAGACAAATGAAGGCAAATACTGTACACTTGCTGGAATCTCTTCCACCGTAAGATTCACTGTTTTCCCAGTTCTGATCACAGAAGCCATTTCCATCTTGATCTTGAAGTATTAAACACACTATGAAAGGTGCAGCTTGTTTGGCTGAGGGGCCACAGGTACATCCGAAGTGATGGTATTCGGCAAGCACGACTCAGCATTAAACCACTGGACCAATCAGATGAGCTTCTAGTACCTCCCCTCCCCACACGCTCCTTTACCTGGAGTAGCTACAGTCCTACATGGATGGTTTAAAAACTTGCTGTCTCACGTTAAAAAATAAGTGCATCAGGTATCTTTGTACATTCACGTCACTTCCTAAGGCAAAGTATCTCCCATATGTACTCCCAACTGCTTTGGTATTTGCTTCAGTTGACTGGGGTGGACGTGGGCGTTGCTGCATGCAGGCTGACTCGGTGGGCTTGGGTGGACAAATGCTGGGAGCATGCCTTAGCTAACCTACTCCTGTGTCGAAACATCTGAGAGTTCTGAGTGGGGCTCCGACCACGTGCGTGTCCAGTCTGCACTTGCTACGTGACGGCGTGTGCAGCCTTTAGAGGAAAGGCATTTAATTAAGGCGTGAAAAATCTCATGCCCTCGGAACAGGCTCACTCTTTTTGTTCTTTAGAAACATGCTGTAGGAGGTTAAGATTCTTTTTGATGCCTCTGATGAAAACAGAAAACTGCACTGGTGTAGACCACACCATGGCGGTCTGAGGAAATGCAGACGAACTTGCTGGCGTCTCTCTCTACCCCATCCTGCCCGCTTTCTCCCCGGGCATGTCAGCAGAACTCTCCACCATTAGCTCTCCTTCTCTTGCATTCTTTTTCTTCCTCATCCTTCCTCTCTCACTCTCTCTCTCTCTCCTGCATTCTCTTGTCCCTCACTGCCCCATCTCCCTCCCCTCAAGCTGCCTCTCTTCCCCTCTCTCTTTCTCTCTCTAAGACAAATGCCAATACCTAGCAGAAGTCAGTTGGGTGCGCGAGTGCATGGCTTCCAAATATTCAGCAGAGATGAACAAGGGTAGGTAATTTTGCAGTAACTTGAATTCTATTATGGGAAAATGGTTACTTCCCTTAGCAATCAGCAAAAATTGAGAAATCTCAGTGACTTGCATCACCGTGACACAGTACAGCGTTTGGCAGGTAAGTGTTCAGTGACTTAATTAGATGAATGGACGTTTTAGAAAAGGTAGTTTCAAATTCAAGAATTTCTGGAAACAAAGTTCAAATCCCATGGAGTGGCGGGCTGCTTTCTACAGCTCTATCTTGCATGCAGGGAAGGATTCATCTTGCATGACCACGGTGCTGCTGCTGGCTAGGACCATGATGCTGAGGTCCTGCTGCTTCTCATGGGTCTCCTGGTACCATTCCCTCATCACTTCGGAGTCATGTGTCGGGATCAGAGTCACCTGCAGAGGGGGAGAAAGGCGATATTTAAAGGGCAGCAGAGATGGACGCCGGGATTTAAAACAGAACAAGGTATTGGTTGGCTCCTGAGAAGAAGGGAACAAAAGAAAAATATCTTTCTCTCCCAAAAAATGCAAATGAAGCTTTCAACTGATGTTTTCCAGGAGCCATAACCAAACTCGAAAATTAAAAAAGGTTGTTGTTTGTTTGTTTTTCAGTGAGAGGAGGATTTGGAGATGAGAATCTAAATCAGCTAGGAACTTACCAGTCCATTCATCTAAATTTCACTGTTGGCTCGTTAATGCTGTTGTGTTAGGGGGTGTTTGGATTAGGTATAATTTCTCATATTTCCATTAACACAGGGGAAATATTGTACAGACTATACTCCATACTTAATCCAAGATGTTTTAGTTATTGCTCAAAACCGTTAGAAACCCACTCTTTGGCCTGAAAGCAGGCTGCGGAAGATAGGAGTGGGGTACTGATTGGTACTTCTTGTGTGAATATTATGGAAGTATTAGAAAGCAATCTTATTGAAGATGTGAACACGGTCGCTGAGTGATTATTTGCAGAAACACAAATCAGATAACCAGAAATCTCAGCTTAGTAGGAACACAGAGACTGAAAGAGCCCTGAGGGTCTGGAGCTAGATAATAATACCCTGAGAAACAGTGGAGCCACTCTAGGCCTCTACCTGAGGACTTGACCCACATCCCTCTAGCCTGGTGACCACGTTGCTAGTTCTAGTCTGCTTCGCCAAACACAAATGAGTGAAAACAATTCCTTAGCATCAATTCCACAGGACAACTCTGATACACACACAATGCTCAGCATGGTGGGGTGGAGGTGGGGGCAGCAATTCACTTCAGGTCATTTTACAGATGCATGAATTCCACCCACTGCTCGCCTCCACTGCCACTGATGGTGGGCCTGTCACGAATTCTACTCTGGGTTACCTTCTGTATGCTAAACTGACCCTCTGTGCAGTATATTTCACATGCAATACTCAGGGGCCCCATATGTGGACACACAATCACGGAGCTGCCTATTCAAACACGGTTCCTTCTCTTCGCCTCTAGAACTAGCTTGAATGCAGCTGAGAGGTAGGCCTCACAGTCTTACCTGCATGTTGCTTCCCCACTGAGCCTTCCCTTCCAACAAGGCATCCAGGACAGCCCGGCTGGGCTCCTCGGCAGCGGGGTCATTCCCACTCACCACGTAGTAAGATGACCTCACTCTCTTGAAAAATTCCACGTCAACATTCTTACTGTTGCTGTGGTTGGGAATATAGCACAGGTCCAAATACACAGGGAGGCCTGGAGGCACGGTGGATGGCTTGGCCGTCTTAGTGGTTCCTGGTCCTTTGGGAACAAAGACAAAGCAAGGGTCATAGCAGTGTGAAGACACTGATGTATTCACAGATATGCCCGGCTAGGTCCTCTGGGACATGGAAAGGCTGGTAGTATTCCCATTTCCCTGGCACCTTGGACAGAATATCAAACTCTGGGAATCTGAGACAATATACCATGGTTGTTTGTCATCTCAATAGGAGAAACTGAGAATGAGATGGCTTCCCTGTGCAGACAACCCATGAAGAAGTAAAAAGAGTTTCCAGGACTTTTCAAAAGAAGGGATTAGATAGTAGTGCCCTTACCCGAAGGACCTACTAGCGTGCACTTTAAGTTGAAAAGCTCTGTGAGAGCTCTGTGAGAGGCGTAAGCTATAGATCCTGGTGCCATATGGAACTGAACAACTAAACACAAATGGATAGATACGTTTTCAACAGTAAGACATTTCTGATCACCCTCTGTACCTGTGCGTGCTGTCATAACTACAGGGGCAATGGATGGTATTTGAAACAAGCAGCTCTTGCGGAAACATAACGGTTTCATTATGAAAACAAAGTCTTTTCATAGTTTTCTACCATCACCTCAGCATGTAAGTTTCAAATTAGTGTATCTTTGTATTGCTTGCGCTAAAATGTTTGATTTAAAAACAAAACACTGTTATTTGAGTTAATGACTTGAGCTTCAGAAAAAAAAAATGTTCAAGAAATTTTGAATTGGAGCTGGGAAATAATTTCCAATAATTTCTGAAATGGCCCTAAATATACTTCTGCCATATTTATTTATATATATTTATGACAGGCAATGTTCTCAGCATTGATTATTATAAAACAAAATTATTGGTCAAGTTTGAAAAATGCTGATGGCTCTCTCCGTCCCACAGTATCAAATATTCAGCTAGAATTTAATTCTTCATGTATAAATGAAAAGTACATTCACTTCATCAATATTCAGATTTTCATCTTTAATAAATACTATATATACATGTATATATACCAAAGAACTGATTTAAGGTAAATTTCTATATAAGTTCATATCAGTAAATGTTTGATTTATATATCTATTTATATGTCTGGATACCCAGGGTTGTATAAAAATTTCTTGGACAAAAGAGAAAAAGATTAAGAAGCCCTTAATTAATAAACATGTTAAAAATCCAAAAGAAGCATTCATATTTGGCAAACCATAGTTTGGTGACCTTAATAATCCTTTTTAGGATTTCTTAGAAGTATTTTGACCCCCACCCACAGCTAAACAGGATTCCCTAACATTTGATCTAGGAAGTAGCTAAGACCTCAACCCATATGGCCTCCATGGTCCTCAGCACCTAAGGCTCATCAGGCTTGCATGACAAGGGCTTTTGCCCATAAAGCCATCTCACCAGCCCCTGTCTTTAGCTCTAACATAAAAAAAAAAAAAAATGATAGTGTTTTGTCAAAATTCAACTGTTTTTTTTTTTTTTTTCTTAACCTATTAGATGAATTCCATGCTTTCTCCTAAGTATAAGTCAACTGTCAACTCTCCCAGACCAGGGAGGAAACTATTTAGTGGTTTTATGTTTAATCTGATCATGAAGAAAGTCAGTTTGTTTTCTACATAAATTTTGTAAAGGCCACGCCTGACAAAATCTGATGTCCACAATAAAATAAAAGCCTGAGGTTGTAACCAAAATGTCCTAAAAAGCACTGGATTTGAAAGCCCCAGAAGCTGGTCCTTCAGATTTCCCCTCATAGAGCAAGGAAATGCTTAAATTAATTTTATGCTTTGCACATTTGGATAAGTGTCTACTATTTTGTGTTTTGAAGATCTCTGGGTGAGTATGTGAAGCAAGCAAAGTGTATTAATATAAATGATGACAACAATAAGATGAAATTGTGCTGCCAAGGAGCCACCCCATCAAAAGCCTGGGCACCCTATTAACCCAAAACAAGGGGTGGAGGCAAGAGGATCACAAGATGAAAACCAGCCTGGGCTACAAACCAAGAACCTATCTCACCAAAGGAAAGAGAAGTCTCAAGTCACTACTCAGAAATGGAGAAGGCTGGGTATCAGTGGCAAATTAGGAGCCATCGGAAATCGCTGCTCTGCTTCTGCTGAGAAGAATTCCGGTTAGTGAGGCCACAGGTACGAAGGAAGAAGAAACAGCCTTCAAATGTTTTCCTCTTTTTCCACTAGACACTTATTGTTCAACTGGAATCACACTGTCCGTGAACAGGTAAGAAAATACAGCAGATGCTTCAATGGATGGCTTTTAAAAAATGTGTAGTTTGAAAAAGAATTTTACATTTTAAATTTTACAGAATAAATATTGGGCCTAGACTGAAGATTCCAGGTCTGCCAGGAAACCTCTGGTTTGCCATAGGCCTTTGGGAGCTCCTGGCCTATCACCCCAGTAGGACTGATTGATTGATCGATCGATTGGCTGATTGATTGATTTCTCTCACTCTCCCTTTCTTTCTTTTTTAAGACAGGGTTTCTCTGTGTAGCCTTGGCTATCCTGGACTTTGCAGACTAGGCTGGCCCCAAACTCCCAAAGATCCCACCTGCCTCTGCCTCCCTGAATGCTGGGATTACAGACATGAACCACTGCACCTGGCTCCCAATGTGATTTTTTACGGTCAATGGGAGGCCTAAAGCCTCCCAGAACAGCCTGAGGGTTTATTTCTGAAGGTTTGCAACAGGCCTGTAGCTGCTGCCCAGAATGATACCAACCCAGCAGTTCCACCACACAGATCCCTGCGGCGCTGGGCCACATAATCTACTATCTCTGAGCCACACTGGGGCAAGAGGTGTACCTTTAAGCAGAAGAGGAAGGCAGAGGGAAGGTGAAGCATTAGCCCATGCTCTCCGGTCTTCCCAGCAAAAGGGCAAACAGAGGAGCCATGTGCGTGAAGACACGCACATGGTGTGTAAGCGGACCCCAGCACCCCCATCTACCTGCTGTTGCGGTTTTCGCTGACTTGGATGCAGAGGCGTTGGCGGCGTTCTTGGTGTCCTTGTCTTTCTCTTCCCCACGCGTGGCCTTGAACTCAGGAGTGGTGGCGGTCTTCGTAGCTTTTTCCATGGATTCTTTCTTCTTGGGAGAAGCCACTCTGGACACCTTGTCCGAGGATTCCTTCAAGGCTCCTGGTTTGGGGGAAGCTGCCAAAGGCTTAGACTTCCCATCAGCTTTCTTCACCGGTGAAGAGGACTTGGTCTTTGTGCCTGGCTTCTTGGTCTTGGTCTTCTCTTTCAGGTCCTTCTTCAGAGCTTTTCCTAGGTTCTGCTCAATGGCCAAGGCCTCGGGGTCCACCATGGACACGTCAGGGTGACGAGGAGAAGGGCTCCGGTCTTGCATGGGGGCTGGAGGGGGGTCCATGTGTTTGTACGTGACGGTTTTGTCTGTGGGGATGGTCTCCGACTCGTCTTCGGAGTCGATGTTGGCGTCAGCTGTGATGGAGGGACACTCTTCAGTCTCTGGGGGGACATCAGAGTCAGTCTGCGATGGGGCTGACTCGCTGACTGAGGTGGGTGGAGTCTCATCGCATTGGCGGCCCTGTTGTTTTCCTCCTGAGGGTGGGGGCCCTCCTCCAGACTGAGTGAGGGGCTTCTCGGATTCTTCCGTGGGCTCCTCCCCCGCAAACCACTCGAGAGGATTCGGATTAATGAAGGAAGGTGAGAGCTCCGTCTTGGGATGCTTGTACTCACAGGAGGACACCAGACATAAATCAACATCCTGGCGGGCCTCTGAGGGGGACTTCTTCTCTGTAGTGTAACATCGGTCTGAGGTCTCATAGGAGTATGTGGATGCCTGCGGGGTCTTGCTGATCTTCTCCATGGTCTCATAACAGTATGTGGAGGCATCTGGGCTCCGTGTGGTTTTTGTAGATGTCTCATAGGAATAGCTTTCAGACTCGGGAAAGCTGGTAACCTTCTCAGTGGTTTCGTAGGAGTAGCTACAGTCCCCAAGCGTGTGGCCGCCATCCTCGGAGTCATCATAGCCATTGCTGATGTCATCCAGGAGCCTTCTAGACCTCTCAGTCTTTTCATAGGTGTAGCCGCTCACTTCAGGGGTCCGTGTTGTCTTCTCAATGATCTCATATGAATACCCACCCTCTTCAGGGGTCCGTGTGGTCTTCTCAGTAATTTCACAGGCATAGCCACCATCTTCTGGGGTCTTGGTGGTCTTCTCAATGGTCTCATAGGAGTACCCACTGTCACATGGAGACTTTATGGTTCTCTCTGTCTTCTCATAGTAATATCCACCCATATCGGGGGTCCGGGTGGTTTTCTCATATGATCCATAGTCATAATCTTCTTCATCGGGGGACCTGGTGGCTTTCTCAGGCTTTTGATAGCCATAGTTAAAGTCACCAGGTGTCTTCCCTCCACTGTCCTTCTCCACACTAGATGTGGTCAAATCTCTATTCAAGGCCAGGTGATGTTGCATTGTATCAAATAGCATTGAGGCACGGAAGCCATAAGGCTCTGCCGACGCTGCATCTTCTGGTGGGGAAGAGGAGGTCTGGCGAGCTGCTGCATTCTCTTTAGCTGCACAGGTAGACTCTGAAAAGCCAGGTGAATATAAAGGTGAGGACTCTCGTGGGGTGAGTGGAGAAATATCGGATTTTGGAGAGAGCTTCTCCCCTTCCAGACTTTGCACTTTTTCAGATGTGAGTGAGGCATATAAGGACATATCTCTGGGAGGAACTACATCAGAGAGAGTGTCTTCCTGAAGCGGAGAGGCTATCTGAGAGGGGGTGTGAGCAGAAGAGGTGGATGGGGAAGCCTCCACCTGGGACACAGAGATGAGCTCAGACAGATCATTATCCTGGGTGTAGGACGGCTCCTCCATTGGGGGGATCTTATGTGACAAACTAGAGTCTTGGATATCAGAGGGACTATAGTCCACTTCAGTCGGCCCATTTTCTGTGATGTGAAGCATACTCGCACCCACAGTAGGGTGATCTGGAGACTGGCGACTAAAGTCCATAGCAAGGGAGTGCTCAGGAGATTCCTGGCCAAATTCAATAGACATCGAAGACTGTTCAGATCGGTGATCTTGAACTGGTGTCCTGGATTTGGCTGTCTTGGGGGAGAAGTCTGGAGGAGAAATTGACATTGGTCTTGGGCACTCTTCTTTAGATGGGGACATTTCTGTTTCCTGGAAAGTGGTAGGTGTTTGCACAACAGATACTGAAAGGGAGTCATCCACCTCTGTGGAATGTGGGGAGCCCACTTCAGCATGCAGAGAAGGAGACACATCATCTGTGGTTGGCTCTGGAAATGAGCTTGTAGCCACAGAGGCAGTAGAGACTGAGGCCACGCCCTCCATGTGAGAGTAGGTATCTTCTGCCACGCCCTCATCCACAGGCGTGGCTGACTTGTCTGATACAGTGCCTTCTGAAATGGACATCTTGGTGTCTTCTTTGAAAGAGCCAAACTGACTGACATCGATTTGTGTTGGAGATACATCTCCTCCCAATTTCCTTTCATCCAAAGCCAGAGCTGATTGAGAACTTGTGATTTCAACATCATCGGTTTTCTTCTCTGGACCAAAGTCATCCTTTATGGGTATGAAGCCTGTGCTTTTCTCTTCCTGTTTGTCTTGGTAAAGACCAGTGGAAGTCAGGTCAGAAACTGGGCTTTCTTTATCTGGGCTTTGCTTTCCACTCTTTCCTTCAAAGGGGCTTTCAGTACATCTGCCAAGAGTCTTGCTATCAGCACTTAGAAAGTCTTCGTATGCAGACTCAGATCCAATGAGGGGAGGGCTGCGTAAAGGAGACAGAACTTTCTCGATAGGAGACTCTGAGTCAGGCACAGGCTCATCCATGGGACTCATGGAAGCTCTCTCATTCTCATCTTTGGCCTCACTGAACTCAAAACTCACTGGAGCCGCCTGGGACTTCTCAGTGGCTTCTGAAGGTAGGTGACTGGACTTCTCTTCTGTGGGAGATTGGTAGTAAGGCGTATGGCCAGCACTGCCAGTCACAGACTGAGATGGTGACACTACCTCCAGGGTCTTCTCCTCGGGACTGGCACAATGCTCTTCAACTACTGCAGGGGTCGCTCCAGGAGACACTGATGTTGCTTCAGCCTCTGCAGAGGCTTTAATCTCATTGGGTGTCAGAGAGAAATTCACGCTACGTTCACCCAGGGGAGTCTTCTCTATGGGTGATGGTGGAGAAGGACTCAGGGATGGACTCTTGGCTGGGCTAAGTCTCTCATCTGAAACATCTTTGATGTCCAACACGGCACTGGCCTTCACATCTTTCTCTTCTGAGCAGTAAGCGTCACGCAGAGCAGACTTGCTGAATTTGTCTTCTTCCATGGATGAAGGAGGTGATATGGTGGAGGCAGAAGCATTATAATCCTTGCCATCAGTGGCATCTGTTTTTGACCCTTCTGACAGTCCATTGAATGATGCAACGACAGGTTTGGAGTATTCCTGAGAATACAGTGAGGACTCATATTTGGTAATGTTTACGAACTCCTGAGAGGGGGACTCGGTCTCCTCATTGTTGGTCTCATCGCTCATCACATCACGAGGAGTAGACATCTCATCCATGGGGGTAGGCTCACTAGATATCTCAATGGTAGACTGAGTATATCCTGAGGTGGCAGTGAATTCCTCAGGTTGGTCTTCTCGATTCTCCTCATCAGAAGCAGTGGCCTCACTCTCGGAGCCTCCGGGTAGGGTCTCATCATGAATAGAAGATGCAGGTTCTCGGCCAGGAGACTGGGCTCCAGGTTGCTTGGCTGATGTGCTCAGGAATCCGTACTGCTCTTCAGCAATGCCAGCTTCCGCAGCCTTGTCAACCACAGCCATCACGTAATCTTCAGCCTCAATTTTTTCAGGCTCATAGTCTTCCTCTCTGGCATCCTCTGCTTTGTCCTCCTCTTCACCCTCCTCAGATTGTTCGGCTTCTCCTTTCTCAAGCACCTCATCCATGTCTTCTTCTGCCCGGTCATCACCACTGGCCACAGACTCCCTCTTCTCCTTGATGTGCACATCAGCCTCAGCCTTCGCACTTTCATCATCTTCTGTGGGGCTGTGCTTGGAGGCACTCCCACTTACATTGTCTTCCCCATCCTCTTCTGGCTCTTCAGCCTCCTCAGTTTCTGCCTTCTCTTCATAGTCTCCAGTCTCTGAGGATTCTTCAAAGCCAGCTCCTTCATCTTCAAATTTCTCAATGTCATCCACCCCCTGCTTCTCAACTGGCTCCAGCTCCTCTGGGGTTTGCTCACACTCACCCTCCCCTTCAGTGGTAGTGATCCCCTCATCGGGTGACTCAGCAGAACCTTTGATGACTTCTGTCTCTTTCTGGATGACGTAGGCTTCTACAGGCTCTGTTTCCTTCAGTTTCTCTTCATCGTCAATGAGCTCCAGCTGAGGCTTGATGTCCTTGGCCACATCAATCTCCTCAGCCTTTAACTCTTCAAAGTCCTTGGTTAGATCCTCAGGGGATGACATAAGGGACCTCTCAGCTTCAAGTTCTTTGGCAGGACCACTGGCAGCTATTCCAGCTGCTGCCACTGCAGCAGCCGTGGTGGCAGCAGAGCCAACAGCTGTGGCAGCCGCTTCTGTGGTCTTGCCTTCCTTCTTAATGACTTTAACCTTCCCCTTGTCCTTGAGTTTCCCAGCAGTAACAGGCTCCTTCTTGGTGGACTCTTCTTTCTTTGTTACTTTTGGTTTCAGTGCAGCTGGTTTTTTTGTTTCTGACAGAGGTGTCGATTTCTTTATGTCCTTGGAGATCTTCTTAATTTCTTTTTTGGGTTCTTTTTCTTCCTTTTTAACTTCTTTCTTTTCCTCTTTCTTCACTTCCTTCTTGGCATCCTTCATGGGCGTTTCTTTCTTAACCTCTTTCTTGATCTCTTTTTTCTCTTCTTTTTTGATTTCTTTTTTGACCTCCTTCTTAACCTCTTCCTTTTTTGGTTTCTCGTCTTTCTTGATAGGTGTTTTGTCTTCCTTTTTAGCCACTTCTTTCTTGGGCTTCTCCTCTTTCTTCTCTTCGGGTTTTGCCTTGATTTCTTTTTTCACCACTTTCTCTTTGGTGACCTTGGGTTTGCTCTCAGTGGCTTGCTTCTCAGCCACCTCAGCTTTCACTGGGGACTGTTCCTCTCGGCTGGGCGCCTCCTTTTCTGTCACTGAAGGTTTGGTTTCCGTCTTTACCGGCTTATCTTTTTTCACTATTACCTTCTCTTTGCTTTCAACTTTGGGTGTTTTTTCCACTTGACTAGCTTTTGTGACTTCAGGAACTTCTTCTTTGGACTCCTTCCTCACCGATTTACTGGGAAGTGGTTTTGCAGCTGGCTTCAGACTTTCTCGGCTGTCAGCCCTCTGTTTCAGCTTGACTTGTTTAGTTGTGGGGGTGGGCACCTGGCCAGTGAGATCTTTTTGGGTGGCTAGTGGTTGCTTTAGGAAGTCTAGATGTTTGAGTTTTTCTAGCCCTTCTAGGATGTTGTATTGAGTGCTGTTTCCAGGAAACAGAACACGAATGATTTTCTCAGCAGGGTTGGCTGGATGCCACACAATCAAAGATGAGACTGAAGTTAAGTAGGAAATTGGGATATCTACTTCTTGACCGTTGGGCAGGATTAATTCTGCCTTGTCTTTGTTGGTGCCAGTCCACTGTTGCATAAAATACTGCATCTCCTTGCTGCTCTTGACTGGGTTAAGCACGTACATCTCAAGTTTGCCGACTCCCATTTTTTGGAATAGGATGACAGGCTCAATGGTATTGCCTACATTTCTAAATAGAGGCTCCGGTTTCATGGACAATTTGTTTAGATACTGGAGGGTGAAGCATGCTTCTTCTACGCTTCTCTTCATCTTGAGGTTGGGCTCTGGGTTTTTCAGATTTTCAGGGACATTGAGAAACACAACCCCCAAATCAGGGGAGATGAGGTTTTTCATCCAGTCACTGTTGCTGGTGGAACCCTGGGACCGTTCCTCCTCCAGCTCTGCAATTTTCCGCTGCAGCATGCTATTGATCCCGGGCAAATTGTCATCCCCAATATGGGTGAGCAGGATGGAGTCCACTCGGTCCAAGTGCCGAATGAGCTTCCAGAAGCAAGATTTTCTTTCCGATCCTCCATTAATGAGCATATTGAATCCGTTCACTGCAAACAGGGCAGAATCACCCCGACCCCCTGGGAAAATATAACAGCAGGGCTTGGAGAGCTTGAGAAATCCACCCGAGGTCGGGGGTTCCAGGATGTCAAAGGGAGAAGGGACTTCCACAGACTCTGAGAGATACTCAGTAAACTCAGAAAGTCCCTCCATTTCTGGCAAGATAGAAGCTGAGTTGAGCTTAATGTTGATGAAGTCTTGAAGATTGTGTCTGTCAAGGTTGGAGTTCTTCCAGTCTCCCTCCTCGGGGCAGAAGAGGGTGAGGCTGGCTTTGTTGGCAGGGTGGGTAGTGCTCAGGAGCTCCCCAATCTGGGTTCAAAAAAAGAAAGGAAGAAAAGGATTAAGTTATGTCATCATTGGCTCCTCACCTCCATCTACTCTTAGTTATTATAGGATACTAGCCCTAATGAACAGGGCTAGTATCAAAAATGTACTTGGCCCCGGCACTTGGGAGGCAGAGGCTGGTGGTTCTCTGTGGGTTCGAGGCCAGCCTAGTCTACAGAGAGACTTCCAGAACAGCCAGGGTTGCACAGAGAAACTCTGTCACAGAGAACAAAACAACAACAACAAATGCACTTGGCTTAGCCAAGCAGTGTAGTACACGTCTTTATTCCCAGCACTTGGGAGTCAGAGGCAGGTGGCTCTCTAAATTCAAGACCAGCCTAGTCTACAGAGCAAGTTCCAGCACAGCCAGGGTTATATAGAGAAAGCCTGTGAGTACTTGACAATTACTTGGCCATGGTCCTGATTAAATTATTGATACACTTGAATTTTGGAAGGTGGACAGCCTCTGGTCTGAGTCCCCATATGCACCCTCTGCTATCTTGTGGCTCCTGCTGTAGAATCCTCTCCCTGTATGCCCTTGCCCCAGAACCCTGCTCCAGTTCCAAAATAGGGAACTATCTGGGTACTGGTGCTTATATCTCAGCAATTATGAAATAATTTGAATACTGCCTTTGGGTATTTTCCATGCAAAGATGCTCTTTAACAAATACTAGACTATCACAGGAGAAAGCTGTAGCCATCATTTCACCATGGATTATAGATCTTTACTTTAGCTGCGAGTGATAAGATCTCATTTGCTTTAAACACTGTTTTTCTTTGTGTTTTCCAACATGCCACTCAGTACTTCCTAAGGAAAGGAATTTGGAAAACTGAATCAGCACCAAAATAACAAATATGGTTTACAGAAATGGTTTTCTTTTTTAGTACCAAGGCCATGTTTTGTTGTTGTTGTTTTGTTTTATCAGTTTTGACTCAGCAAAGGCAAATCATGTCATAAACTCCAAACTTCTTTCAGCAAATCTCACACATCAGCTCAGAGATTCAAGTGACAAGGGCTCTGTATCCTGATGCAAATGATTCAGGGTTCAAACAAATGGCCATTCCTGAGCCATTGGCTCTGCACTCTTACCTTTCGTTTCTCACTTCAATGAATTCCAGAATACTATCATTCCAAAGCTATGACTGTGAGGGTATGTGCACAAAGACAATGTGTTGAGCCCGTACTTTCCTATGTTAGATTGCAGGAGAACAGTCATTTTTGTTTTGTCAGACTATCAATGCCAAGGCATAACAGTCGATGTCACAAAATACCAAAGTAACAATGCTGGGCTTTTTTCCTCTTACTTGACTTAATAATGTTCCATAAAACAATTAAGACTCAACTCCTGTTTTGGAATCGAAGAAAACTAAAATAGCAAATGGAGGTACCCACAGGGTGAAGGGAATCCCTGATCAAATAATTTCTTATAAACGTCAGCCATCCTTGGGGGAATCTTTCTTCAGATTATTTGCTAGCCAAGCAAACATGAATAAGAATTCACTGCTATTGCATTTACTCATGCATTTATTTATTTATTTGTTGGGCACATGTGTGTCATGGTGCAGTGTGTGACGGTCAGAGGACAACCTCCTGGAGTTGGTTGTCTCTTTATAACATGTGGATCAGAAGGAGGTGGTGATGAAACTTAAGTCCTTACTCATTGAGCCATCTCCATCTCATCGGTCCTTTAATTTTTTTTTACTACATTTTATTTATTTATTTATTTATTTATTTAAAAATACAGTTTCTTGTCTATGGTGTGTGTCACCACTACAATTTCAACATGGTAAAGCTTCTCTCATTCTTAACTTTCATACAGAGTACAGAAGAACTATTCATGTTTTACATTTTAGGGCACAAATTAAAGATAATCCAAACTGAGAAGTCTTTCACAGCAAAAATGTAAAACTAAGTTCAGTTCATTTTAATCTTTGAGCTCCAGTTTAACTGATCTGAAGCATACTGAAGGCATAGTCTAGCTGTGTGTGTCTGAAGTTATTCAGTCCCTAACTTTTTTAGATTTATTTATTTTGTTTAATGTGTATAACTGTTTTGCCTGCATGCATGTATGTGTTCGATATGCATGGCTGGTGCTTATGATGTAAAGAAAAGGAGTCAAATCCCTGAGCTGAAGTTATGGATGTAGGTACTGGGAACAGAACTCAAGTCCTCTGGAAGAGCAGCCAGTTCTAACTGCTGAGCCATCTCTTTAGCCCCCAATCATTAACTTTTTAATATGAAATATATAGTCACCTCATTCAATGAGAAAGTAAAAAGACTTGAGGGATATTATCCTACTTTCCATCTTTTTACCTTTTCCCAGAGGGTTCCTATGAAAATGCAGGAAATGACTCAAACACATATAAGATTGCCAAGAATTCTGAGGAAGTCAGGAAGCATGAAAGGCATCCAAGAGCCATCACTGGATAGGAATCTGATTCAAGGCGATCAGAAAGGCAACCCAGCACTGCTGGACAAGACTACGCGGAGAGGGAAAAATCTAATTTCTCTGGAAAAACATTAGCATGCTGTACCCAATGAAACAAGAACTCAAAGACAAGCGTTGGAGAAAGCCGGTTAAGGAGATAAGGATATCACAACATCCTTGGGACTACCCAACAGACCTAAAGCCTCTGGGTTTTCCCAGAATCCACAGTTCCAGGACAAGTATTAGGATGAGGACAGGATTCAAGGGCAACAGGTGCCTCAAGATCCCCAGTCCACAGTGATGCTCAGTCCACACAGTGAATGGTGACATCAGTAAGAAGGAGTTGATGATGCTGGCTGTAGTAAGGAAACGATGACTTTTTTCTTTGAAACTGGGGCTGCTTCCTAGTGAACTGGGAAGCCATGTTAACGGTAACAGCAACCACACAGCAAACCCAACTACAATGAAAGCATCCTTATCTTTTTTCCCCAGTATTTAAACCAGGCTAAGTATACTAGGTTATACTGCACTAAGTCTGGTCAGCTCAACACATGTTGTCTCCCTGAAGCTGTAACAAATGCCTGCCCATGCTTATCAAGCAGAGACTGTCACCATGGCTCTTACAAGATGGACGATAGACATGAGTAGGAGTAATACTGCTGTAGGGTAAAATTGTCTCTTTTGTTAATTACCTTTCCTGATTAAGTGCAGGCACACTGAAAGAGGAAGGAAGATAAAGGAATAAGTGGCTTTACTGGAGATATTAACAAAACCAGACTTTAATTTCTAAACCATGGACTTCTAACTGCATTTTCTTTTTTGATTAAGTGACGTGCTTAGCTGAAGAGGAAACACTGTAGACAGTGTATCTCCCAGCTTTTGCAAGACATTTAACGGGGTCTTAGAATCATGCGATAGCAGAATTAGGTGGATTTACAGGCAGCCACACAAGCGGTGCTCCTTCAGGTCAGCCCAGAGGACAATCTGGGGAAGGCTGCTTTAAGTTCACTTCTGTCCTGCTGAGTACTGACTAGGATGAAAATGGAGCAGACATGCTTGTCAAATCTGAGCATAGCTTCAAAACGGGAGGCATATGGAATGTTGGTAGGTAAAGCTGAGATGTTAATGGAAGCTTTGGACTTGAGGCTATGATGGCGAGGCAACAGTGAAAGGGGAGGCACCCTAACAAGAAGATTTGGCTTAACAACAATATCCATGGAAAACCTGGGGGATTTTAGTTGACAATCAAATGGGTTTACATGAAGCTAAAGAAGCTTAAACCTCAAGGTCCCTCACAGGCTTGGCTCTCTACTGAAGTACTGTGCTTAAAGGTATATTAATAACAGGTTTTCCTTTTCTCCATATTAGATTAAGTTTCAGAATGCCTCAAGGCCTCTGTTTCTTCTCCATTGACATCTACTCATGCTTGGAGAAAACTGGAAGCTTTTAAACTTAACTAGACTGAAAACTGTACAAGTTGCTGGCTCTGGTGACCCTAATCTGGTCAGGTGACTTCTGGAATATGGTGTCTAGGTTAGGTCAGGATATATAACAAGCTGTGTTTATTTGTTTGTGATCTCTCTCTCTCTCTCTCTCTCTCTCTCTCTCTCTCTCTCTGTGTGTATGTTATTGTTGTTGCTGCTGCTGTTTGTCAAACCCATGGTCTTGGGAATGCTAGGCAAGCACCTTACCATTGAACTATACGATCCTCTACCCAAACTGTGAAATCTAATTAAACAAAGCTTCCTGAAATAAGGCCCTCCTGCTGAATCCTTCTGTTTGACATTAGCCTCTAGAGTTCTTCTTAATGCTTCTCTGAGTACAGCATCTGTCTTCTGGGCTTTAAATAACCATACCACCTGTTTGATAACTCCAAGGTGTCAAAGAATGACCAGGGCTGAAAGCGTGGATTGTCCTCATATCCATTATGACAGGACCTTTTACATTTTATAGATAACTAAGAGTAAATCCAAAGATAATTAATCTAGGAGATGGGTGGAAGGATGCTGTAGGTGAACCTTCTTGAAGATATAATGAAACAAAAAGAAAAGCCTCTTCATGGAAAGGTTGAAAATGTGCCTATAAATGTTTTTCTAAAGCTATGTTTCTGATTCTTTTTCATTTAACTAATGTGTTCCAAGGGTTGGATAAATGGAGCGAGACTGTACAGAAAATGACCTCAAGTAAGTTGTTCTGCAAGTCTTCTTCCAAGAAATAATCATAGTTCTAAACATAAATATCCATTGGCCAAGTCTATCTAGTGATTTTTAAAACTGTTTTATGAAGATGGGCAGCGGTGGTGCACACCTTTAATCTCAGCACTCAGGGAGGCAGAGGCAGGTGGATCTCAGACTCAGAGGATCTCTGAGAAACGCCAGCCTGGTCTATCGCAAGTTTCAGGACAACCAGGGCAATACAGAGAAACCCTATCTTGAAAACCAAAACCAAACAAACATAGATTTTAATTTTCCCTCTATCTCTGTCTGTGTAGTACATGCAGGCAGGGCACTTGGAGGTGAGAAGGTACTGGGTCCCCTGACACTAGAGTCACAGAAAGTTGGGAGCTGCTATGTGGGTGCTGGGAATTGAACCTGTGCCTCTGGAAGAGGCCTCTCAACCTCTGAGCCATCTCTCCAGTCCCTATTCTAGTAATTTTCAACTCACTTTAGCTATAGCATCCTTCCTCAATGTTTACGTAGGGGAAACACAGGCTGAGTTCCTCGGTTTGGCAGGGCAGTAGGCATGAATTTTACATACCCCTGGGCCTCAGCTTCCAGCAGCACCCTGATACCAATAATCTGGCCTAAAAGAGACCCTTTCCTGTGCCCTGAGCATGACTTCCTCTGCAGAAGGTGGGGTAGGAGAGGAGGACGCGACCTCTCATGGCATCAGTGATGGCTGCCGGGTACAATAAGGTACAGAATCCACCTTCATGATTATAAACCCTAGAGTTTTCCCATCACAGAACTTGAATTCTTTCGAAAAGGCTTTCTTTTTCTTTATAGCTAATGGTAAAATTGGGCACACGCACAGCCCACTGTACAAAAATCCAGAACTTTTAAAAGTGCTTTAAATAACAACTTTATGAAACTATTCCTTATTTTCAAAGAGGGGATTACTTGGGGCCCTGATGAATGACATATGATACCTCCTTATGTAAAATCCTGGCAATGATAAAATGCTTTTTCTTACACATTTTCCTTGTTTGGTTTCATGGGGACAAAAATAAAAACCAACCATGATGTGGGCAGAAAGCAAACACTTGAAAGGAACTGCAGAACTGAACAGGAATGCAGGAAGGGAACCCTGTGCATGTAAATGAGCCCAGGGCTCAGGGCTGAGCTCATCTTACCAGTCGATCACTTGACAGTCCAACATGACATTGGGTCACTTCCTCCACAGCCCACTCCCCTCCTTGGGACAAGATGCTGACCTCTGAAATGCCAGACAAGGGCCCAAGAACCCTTCATAACACACAGCCTAAGAACATGATCTTGAGACAAGAGCTGCTATCTGTGTCTATTCACCAATTTCAGAGCAGTCCAAATGTTCTTTCTCGGGCATTTCAGGGCAATTGAGCAATGCCTGCGTGATACAGCAGGGTGTTTGGCTCAGCCCTGGGGAAGAGGGAATGCAGCTCCGGAGAAAGTCACAGGCAAAGCTTCCACCTTGAAGTGAGAGCACAGGCCAGCTGTGAGTGAGCCCAGAGGCCTCTGAGCAAGAATCCGCTTGCCAGGCAGGGATCTTTCTCACTCTGGTGAGCTGGTGCTATGTGCCTCCAGGTACAGATGACCTCACACCCTCTGAAAGAGCTCGGGCTCCACACGCTGCTTAAAAATGTTCCTTTCCACAGTTCTGCGCGGTCTCCCCCTCCCATGCGTGGAGGGGGAAAACTGTTGTGTTATCTCTCCAGGGTTTTACTGAGGCCTCCTTCTGGCTGAAACCGATTTTGCTGAGAGGATAAGCACACAGCGGTCTCTCTGTGACGCCAAGGCTGCCATCTCAGGTCTAAATGGCTGCAGTAATTCCTATAAACACACCCCTCATTCCACTCCCCACGCCACCCGCGGCTTCTCATACTGCTTCCCTCTAAACACAGGGTCCAGTCACTAGAAGTAAGAGAAATTAAAATAATCAGGCCAGGAAAAGCAGCAGCACCCCTGAGAGAGATCAAGGCAGGGGACATCCTGCTGAAGCCCGAGAGCTCTGTGGAGAAGTCTCGCAGAAAACAGGAAAGCCGGAGTTTCTCCTGGAGTTCTGTACTTTCCAGGGTCCCTAGCACTTCCGCCATCTGTAAAGATTGATCATTCCTGCGCTTCCGCTGGCCTCCGCACCGGCAGTGGAAGCGTGTTTCCAACCATCCATCAATCGATCGACGGCAACTGTGCTCTAGCCCAGGCCTAAGTCATTTTGGATCATAGATTTGCTTGTTTCAGAGGGGCCCCTCCTGCCTTCCCCACACACCCAGGCAGTAGCTCAGACTCGCCGCGCGGAACCCACCTCTTGATCGGTGAAGATCTCTATGAAGTTCTGGAAGGAGAAAGAGCCAGACTGGAGAATGAGCTCTCCTGTGTTCTCAAAGCACTGTCCGGTGAGCACCAGCAGTTTATGGCGGGCGGCGTCAGTGATCATCAAGCGCACCTGAAACACAGAGCAGGCGCAGGGCGTAAGTGAGGGTACCGCGCCCCAACACCACGGTGGTGCCTGAAGCTTTCTACCAACAGAACACATTCATTCCAAGACTCTACTTTCTTCAGCTGAGCGTGGAGGCAGGGAGTGTTGGACAGGGCCCTGTCTGTGGGAGTTATTCATAAAATTAATTACTGTGGATATTAGTGTGCCCGTGGACACCACATTAAGAGTTTTGCTTTAACCAAAGACAGCAGTGGTTGTTGACTTTCTCCCCTGAGTTTCCTTCTCTTTTCAAAGCAGTCTTCACAGCTGGCAAGCATTTGTTCCACAGCTGTTGGAAAGTGTCTGCTAGCAGCCTGCAGCATCTGAGGTCAGGATATGCCACCCCGGGCCCCCCAGCTATCCTCAGGAAAGGACAGCTCCGAGTAGGCCTCATGTCATCCCTTCCTACCCAGGATTCCTTTTTTCCAAGCCACAGGGCAAGCTCGCCATGCCAAACGCAGCAGACTCCAGCGCTAGCAGCAAGGTGCTTAACATTGAACGGCGACCCCTAAATGGCAATCTGGGAAACTGAATTGAAAATAACTTGTGCTAAAGAACTCTCGGTGAACTCTCAGTGGCAGGGAGCCAGCGGTCCTGTGCAGGAGCAGCACCCTCAGGGCCAAGTTCTGAACCCAGTTCGTGCTGGCTGAGCACTTCTGTGTCCCCTACACCATGCTCTGCACCAGGGAATATTCAAAATTAAACAGGCCATGACCGCTGCCTAAGGGCCCACTGGCCACTCAAGGGAAAACATGCATACCTAAGCGGTTGTTTCAGACTCATTTGATCCAGACTAGCTTGGATTCTTCAAAAAAGGCTTGCTTGCTTTTTCTTTCTCCTTCCTTCCTTCCTTCCTTCCTTCCTTCCTTCCTTCCTTCCTTCCT